CCTGTTGTAATAAACACTCAAGTTCTGTCTGAGTTGATAGAACTTTGAACGTTAGAATGCAAAAAAGAGAGGATGGTTTCATCCTAGGCATAGGCATTTACTTCTACAAATGCCTGTTCGCTCCTTGTAATGTATTTTAAAAGCAATTTCAAGTCTACGTTAGTGTGTATGTAATAAATATATGTTCCCAAATGAGAAGATAACTTCATTCTGACCAATAATGCCCAACCAGGAAAATGCTCTGATGATCAAAACACATTTCCATAAGTCAAATAAAGTAGTTGAACCAACAGTTAGATCCTAACTCTTCTGCCTTGGATTTTAAGGGAAATTAACCCAGTGGCTCCAAAATCACTGCAGATGGTGACTGCAGCCATGAAATTAAAAGGCGCTTACTCCTTGGAAGGAAAGTTATGACCAACCTAGATAGTACATTAAGAAGCAGAGACATTACTTTGTCAACAAAGGTCCGTCTAGTCAAGGCTATGGTTTTTCCAGTAGTCATGTATGGATGTGAGAGTTGGACTGTGAAGAAAGCTTAGCGCCGCAGAATTGATGATTTTGAACTGTGGTGTTGGAGAAGACTCTTGAGAGTACCTTGGACTGCAAGGAGATCCAACCAGTCCATCCTGAAGATCAGTCCTGTGTGTTCATTGGAAGGACTGATGCTGAAGCTGAAACTCCAATACTTTGGCCACCTGATGTGAAGAGTTGACTCATTGGAAAAGACCCTGATGCTGGAAAGGATTGGGGGCAGGAGGAGAAGGGGACGACAGAGGATGAGATGGCTGGATGGCATCACCAACTCGATGGGCATGAGTTTGAGTAAACTCCGGGGATTTGTGATGGACAGGGAGGCCTGGCATGCTGCGATTCATGGGGTTGCAGAGTCGGACACGACTGAGCGAATGAACTGACTGAACTGAACCCGGTGGCTCAGTGGCAAAAAAATCTAAAGAATCTACCTGTAATGCAGGAGACAACAGGAGACGTGGGTCAGATCCCTGAGTCAGGAAGATCCTCTGAGAGGGAAATGACATCTCACTCTAGTATTCTTGCCTTGAGAATCCCATGGATGGGGAGCCTGGTGGGCTACAATCCATAGGGTAGCAAAGAGTTGGACATTATTTAGCATGCAGCAGCCAATAAGAGATACCCCCTAGTTTCTGATGTAAAAACTTTGTGGAGAAAGACCAATGTGAAAAGCTTCTTATGCTAAGATGGACAAAAGCTGGAGAAAGTCCTGGTCCCCATCTGGGTCTGCTAGTAGCTCCTATTGTGTCCCTGCTATAAGGAGGATATCCCAAGACCTCAATCCTACTCCCATTCTCTCCAGGAATGGCAAGATGGATCCTAAACAGCTGCGTCTGGGCCCAGAAGAACTGCAAGTAGGTTGACTGCTTTGTAAAATTGCTCCAAAATTCTGTGAAATGAAATTCAAAATATACTACTAGGGCCATAACACAGGACTATCTAATCTTTCAGATACTGCTGCCCTTCTGGATTCACCTCTGGGTAGTCTTGGTAGGTGATGGTGGTTTGGAGGCTGTGATGAGAGTCACTACTCACTCCCTTTGAGACCATCACTAAAGAAGGGCTAGAACCCTACTGGCTTCATTTTCTAAGTGAGACAACATGGCCACTTCTCTATTTTCCTCCCTGGGCTTCAAATCTGCGGCTTTCTGAATTCCGTCAGCATTTAGACTGCCTAAATCCTTTTCTAAAATAGAGGCTGAGTCAGAGAACCTCTTCTGTACAGTTTCTTCCAGCTTTGATTTTCTATAATCCTAGGAGCAGAGAATGTTATGTCACTTCCATCCCTAGATGCCAATCTCTACATATTGTAGTGCTTGTGCATTTTGCACGAGCTCCCTGGGTGTTTCCTGTCCATCTTTTTCTTGTTGTAGTTAGTTTAGTCATTCTGAAGGTGTGGACAAAAGGAATTGGGCCAAGGTGGCCATCTGAATGGGGAGAGGTTTTCTTCTTCCTGGTGAGGTTGCAGGGTGTATGTGCATTGCAGGGGGTGGTGAGAAGGGGAAAGCGAAAGAGATAGTCTATGAAGCATCAGAACCAGTGAGGGAGACGGTCACCAATCTAAAGGCTCAGTGATCTGGGCTCAAGTCCTTCCTCTGCACCTATTAGGTGTGACACTGAACAAGTCAATTAACCACTGTGGGTCTTGGTTTTGTTATTTGTAAATTATGAAAATAACACTGGGGAGAATCTGTGCTCCTTCCTATATAGGTCTGTTCAAATAGATTATGAGCCGCCTGAACTAAAGTTATGATTTATACATTTTCACAGTCATGATGCCCAGAGCAGAGTCTGGCACATAATTTTATCAGTCAGGCATGAATTTGGCTGTAAGTATTAATAACAGAAACCCACTGACAGTGGAAAACATGGAGGTAATTTCCTCCTATTATAAGAAAACTGCAACTGTGCTGGTGTTAGTTAAGGTGCTCAGGGAGACACTTTTCCCTCTTTAGCTTTTAATTTAATTTAGTTTCTAATGAAGCTTTTGAGGACCTAGGTTCTTTCCATTTTTTTCTCCTTCATCCTGTGCATGTTGGATTTTGTTCTCATTCTCACCAACTTATAGCCCCAAAGGAGCTGCCACATTGCTAGGCATCAAACCCATGTTTAAGACAATAGGAAGGATAAAGAGGCAGCACCAATCATTTCTGTCTTTTTTAAGAATGAAAGGGAGAACTTTTACCAAAGCCACATCAGATTATGTCCAATTGGCTATAACTGGGTCTCATGACCACCACCAGCTGCAAGGGATTCTGGGAAAGTAAGTGTCTGGCTTTTCCAGCTTCTATGGTGGGAGGCAGCAAGCAGAGGGGTCAATATGGCCATTGGATCAACAAACATTTTAAAATAAATACAACTAGAAAATAAGCTGAAAAATACTTCTCTTTTCTCAAGTGGAGTGTACTGTGCAATTATTTTGAGGAAATGAATGCTTCATTGGGTATGCTTTTAAATATTCATACTGCTATTTTGTTTTTATGTGGCAAAACAGGAATGACCTATGTTCTCTCACAGGTATGGGCAGGAAGTGGAACTAGAGGCAAGGTCAGACCCCGTGAAGGACTTAGCTTGGAGAGATTTTACTTTGATGTTTTCCTGAGAGAATACTTTGCACATACTCACCTTGTGATCAGAGAGATATTGCTTTCGTGTGCTACAGTTGGTCTCCGCACATGGCCAGCCAAGTGTAACTTGTTGAGAAGTTCCTGGTTCTGACTGGTTTCCATTACCTTTTGATTCATGAACATTCAATGGAAGGGTGACACATTCACAGAGAAAAGGAAATTTCCCAGAACACAGCACGGACACAGAATGCAGGGTCTCTTCTTCACTGAGGAGTAGTGCTATTACAAAGAAAAGGTGCGTGTAAATCACCTAACTCGTGCCTGGCACAGAAGAGGCACTGAATACATGTGAGATAGTATTGTTATGACTGTTAATAAGAATGATGTTTTTTTAATCTCCCTGCTCACTTTGCCAACAAGCCTCTCCTTTTCCCCATATTACCCTGTGGGGTTTGGACAAAATGACAGGATGCAAGGTTGAACTACACAGGTCCCTGGTTCCACTCTTACTTCCCAGGGGCTTCGGGGAGAACCTCAGGCGGGCAAGACACTCTTGAAGCTGTCTCAGGTGTATCTGAAGTACTCTGGTTGGGTTGACTGTTACCACACAGACTCTGACCCTTCAAGGAGGCAACCTGAAATCCTAACTGTTGCGTTCAGAAACTTTCTCCTCACAGTAACCACAGTATTTCCTGGTAGAATTTAATCCTGTCAGTTTTCTGAACACAATGAGAAGGAAGTTATGTACAACTGATATTCCTGCATAAAAGAAGTACAAAGTTCTCTAGCAGAGATCTCTTCTCTTCAGATAGGAGTACATTTGAATGCATCTCCTAGTAGTGGCTGATTTACAATGCTTGTTTGATTTTCCATTGTATTATACATTAACACAAGGAGAAAGGACAGAGGTCAAGGGTTAGGTGTCTTGTTTGCAAGGCAGTCCCTGACATTACAGAGATAACTGTGAGGTACACAGTCATTTGTTGTTTCGAACTTCTCTTTCATCGCCCCTTCAGACTTCTGGAGGTAATAAAACATAATGATTAAGGGACCAGGATCAGCAATCAGAGACTCTTGGGTTTAAATTTTGCCTTTGCCATGTTATAACACTGAAACTTTCGGCCTGTTCTTTTCTTTAAAAAAATTGAACTATAATTGACCTATTATTCAGAAAGAATAATTATTCTTTCTGAACCTCATTTCCTTATCTACAAAGTGGGCAAATTAACACCTATCCCACAAAATTATTGCAAGCATTAAATAAAACAGTATGTGAGAAAATGTTTTGTAAAGTATTTGGTCTTAAGTGCAGAAAATGCAGCCCAAACAACTTAAGCAAAAAGAGAAGGTATTTTTTAATAGACTGGTAAAACATACTAGTCTATTAAAAACAATAAATTAAAAAAATTTTTAAATGAAGTAATGCTTTCTCATAAATAATTTTAGGAAAAAAACTCCAAATGCTGATTAGGGTGCTTCTTTCTCTCCTTCCTCATTCTCAGTTCTGCATCCCAAAGACAAATGCTGTTAAGAGTTTCTGGTTTTAATACATGTTGTAGGAATAGACAAATAGAGTGTATTGTTTATTAGACTATTTTTAAATATATGTATTATAAAATGTGTATATTACTAAAAAGGTACAAAAACTACCAAAAAATCATTTGTCCACTAAAAAACAACAACAAAAAAGAATGTATTTGACTCACATAATGAAAAGAGTTTCAGGTACAGCTAGATCCAGGGGCTGGAACACTATAACTGGGTCCAAATATCACTCTACTTTTATTCTACTTCCCTCCCTCCACTGGCCCCATCCTCAGATGGGTTTTCCCTGAGAGAAGCAAGGGGGTACAATAACTCTAGCCTTTCTCTTCTAGTTTCAAGTCCACTGGGAAAGAGAAGATACATTCTTCACAACAGTCCCAGCAAAAATGTCACTGCATCTTACTGGCTCTGAATGTATTATTCTGGAACTAATGCAATATTATGACTGGTCAGGAACCCACTTCTGGAGCAAAGGGCGAATCAATACTACTTTCATGGACTGAAAATGCAGTGGTTTCCAAGAAGGAAATTGGGGTGCTATTGCCAAAGGTGTGGTGCATGGATATTGGGGAGGTCGGGTAGGAGGAAAAGCAAATTTCTTCTAGAATGCCATAAAAAGGAAAGTGAAAATGGACTTTACTACCAATCCGAGAATATCATAGCAGAGGAAATCTTTCTTGGCCCTTAAATAAAACTAAAGGAAGAAAGTGCTACTTGATACAGTAGTTATGAACTGATACAATTCTTACTTCAATAACTGAATGAAAATACAGATTTCTTTTTTTTTTCCAGTTGGATGGACGATTCACAATGGGAAACCAGAATGTTTCAGGGTGAGGTAGAGTAGAGGGCAGCACCTGGAACTCAGAGAAGACATTAGTCAAAGGCACCGACCCCCATAACAGAATGCAGAGTGGGAGGGACCGAGCCCATGACGCCCGAGGTTTCCGTGAGCCAGGCGGGCTGATGCCAGGGTCCAGGCTGGAGGCTCCGAGTGCCCAGAAGTCCCTGTCTTATCTTGTGCAATGGCTGTTCCGGGACAAGATCTTTAGTTTGAGCTCTGCCTGCCAAGCAGGGGTTTCCAAACCTGGCTGGGCTCCAGAATCCTTGTTGTTTCAGTGCCTACGTCATGTCCGACTCTTTTGCAACCCCATGGGCTGTACAGGGCCAGGTTCCTCTGTCTACGGGATTTCCAGGCAAAAATACTGGAGTGGGCTGCCATCTCCTCCTCCAGGGGACCTTCCCGACCCAGGGATCAAATCCATGTCTAATGCTTGGCAGGTGAATTCTTTACCACTGAGCGCCCTGAGAAGCCCATACTCTAGAATAGCTAGTTGTTAAAAAGATGATTCCAGGAAGCCCTGCTGGCAAAGGATTAACTTAGCCTGGGGTGGGGCCCAGAAGTCTAGATTGTGAGCAAGCTTTCCTGTGGTCAGGACTAGGGTCTGGGTCTCTAGGGGCTTCCGCAGTTGCAGTCCCCACTCTGTACTGGATGGATCTGTTGACACTGCTGTTCCCTCCCTGGAGTATGAACCCCAAAAGGCAGGGGCTCACGCAGCTTCGGGTACCAGTACACAACAGAGTGAGCACCCACTAAGCATTTATTGAAAGCAGGCTGGAGGGCAGGCAGGCAAGCAGGCAAGCTGCCTTTTCCAATGTGGGCTTTTCTCGGGGGGAGGGAGGTTCTGTTTCTGGAAAGAACTGCTGTGATTGAGGAAAGATCATGGTGAAAAAAGGAGAAAAAGGGCACTGGGGAAGGGAAAGACTTGTGGTTCCTCCACACTACTCATTCTTCTAGAAAAACTCCTCCGTAACTTTAATAAGGAAGCGAGAACAGGATGAGAGTGACTACAGGCAGGGTCCTGGGTTAGCCTCACCTCCCCATCTTACAGATGATGAAACGGAGGTGCAGGCGCATCCTTAGGAAGTGACAAAGCTGGGACCCTGCAGCCTGAGTGGGTAACTGCTGCCTCCCCTGCGTCTCACCTCTCACAGGTGTGGAAGCACAGCCCTGGAGAAAACATCATGCACTTTTGCAGGGTGTCCATTTCCATCTCAGACATCCAGCAAAAGTAAATCAAGAGCTGAGGAAATCAGGGGAGAGCAAAGGGCGTCTCAAGAAAGAGACCATTGTACACCTCTCCAAACAGGCTGTTTTCTGTCTACTTTCTATTCCCCTGCTGTGCCCTGAAGGTCACTTGCTACGTAAGTCTGCACAACTCACTCAGTGAAGTCACGAAAAGGAATACTTGGCCGGGGAACGCGGGGCTGGGGAGGGACCGCGGGGAGGGGACAGGGCTGGGGGAGGCGAGGCAATTCCACGACGAGGACGGCCTGGCCGGCTTCCCTGCCTAGACCAGCCCAATGACCTTCTTTCCTCTCAGTGACCACTCCCCCCGGAGGCTGCCCTGCTCGCTCACAAACACCCGGGAGTTGCCCGCATTCCTGTGACCAGCTGGAGAGGTGCTGCTCCTCGGGGTCCCAGGTGAGAAACTCTCTTTGAAGAGCTGGAAGGGGGGGCGTGAAGTCGAGGTTCATGTCGCTCTTCTCAGAGTGTGCTTACTGAGTCTGAAACTGGGGCAGGGCACCCGGCCTCTTCTAGGAAAAGGATTTGAACATTTTCATGGGAGGAAACACACTTCTTTTTGATAGAGCCCAGCTGCTCTGGAGGGGAGGAGGAGGGCGGTGGGGAGCGGGCTGAGGAAGACAATGGGCGGCGGCAGGAAGCGATTGTTTGGGGATCTGTTAATGCGCATTCAAGAGGACCGCAGCATCCTCTGGGTTAGAGAAAAGAGAGACGTGGACTGAGGAAGGTAGATGTTTCTGGATGTTGCCTGGTGTGGGTGGTGAGGAAAAGCCACCTGCTTAGGGGAGGCAGAAAGGGAGCCTGGCAGGCTCAGGCTCACAGCCAGGACCCCTTCTCATAGGGCACCCAGGCCTTAGAAGACCCTGGAGTCTTCGAGGGGGTGGGAGGTAACCAGTTTTCCCAAACCCAAACCCAGGAAGGAGGCACCAGCTCAGTAGCTTGCTTTGCTCCCTGATAACTTTGTTCTCTCCGGACCAAGCAAGCCTTTCTGAAACCAGTTGGTCATCTACAGCTCAAACTGAGAGACTGAGGAGGGTGAGCCTTCTGCGAGCTGACCTGGAAGTGAAAAGCTTAAGACCCAAGGAGTTTTACCTGGGGTTCAAGAAGAATTCTCTTTTATTTAAGAGGGCTTCCCTGGTGACTCAGAAAGTAAAGAATTCACCTGCAATGCAGGAGACTCAGGTTCAATCCCTGGGTTGGGAAGATCCCCTGGAGAAGGGAAAGGCTACCCACTCCAGTATTCTTGCCAGGAGAATTCCACAGACAGAGAAGCCTGGCAGCCTACAGCCCATGGGCTCTCAAAGAGTCAGACACGACTAAGCGACTCACATACACACACACACACACACACACACAGTCTAAGACAAAAACATCTCCTTCAAGTGTTAATTATGACCCAAAGCTTTTTTGGAAAAGAAAGCTTTGTGGACACATCCAAAGCAACTTGTTTTTCTGTATGCTTTCAATGAAAAACCTAGCTGGCAGAGCCCTCTTGAGGTGTAGGACCAGCTCAAAAGGACAGGGGTGGTCGGTAGTGATGGAGAGCTTGAGACCAAGATGTGGCCTCAGGGATACTCCTCTATTCCCGCCCCAGCTCACAGGGGCTTTACCATAGTAACCAGGCCATGTCAGAAGTGCTGCCCTTGATGTCACTTTCTGGACCTCTCTACCTACCTGTCACTCCTTCTTGGAGCCTTTCCTGGCCACCTCCTCCTCCCACAGCTTCAATAGCATCCTGAGATCCTTAGCAGCAGTTTTTCTCTGATAGCTAAGAGCTGCCACTTGCTGGGAATTTTCTATGAACCAGGCTCTGGGTTAATTGCCTCTGATAAGAACCATACAGTGTGGTGCCTAAACCTTGGGCTTGGAGCAGACCACACCCCTTCACATCCTGCCTCAGCTATTACTGAATCTGTAACTCTGGGAGACAGTGGAGGACTGAGGAGCCTGGTGTGCTACAGTTTATGGGGTCACGAAGAGTTGGACATGACTTAGTTATCTGTACAACACTCATCTTTTTGTGCCTTAGTTTGTCTGCGCTCTAGAATGGGGGTAACAATGCACCCACCCCAGAGGGTTCTTGGGAAGCTACATGAATTAACATTTGCAAAGTATTTTTATTAGTGCCTGTATGTGTTTTCAGTAAATGTTAGCGATTCTAATTGTGTCTTTCAAGCATCACAGCAAGTCTCTAAGGTAAGTATCATTATCTCTATTTGCATATAAGAAAACCGAAGGCTCTGAGAGGAGGGTGAGCCCAGCTAGACTCTGCAGTCCAGCACTTTACTTTCTCTGGTACTCTGTAACAAAAATAACAAGTATGCTAACTCTAAGGGAGTAGGTAAAGTGGCAGAGTCAGGCTTCAGATCCAGTGAGTTCTGGAATCCATGATTTTAATCACCATACTAGATTGTCTTTCTGTAATGATTATGGAAAGAATAAACACTCAACCCAGATTTTAACTTTAAAATGGCATCTGCTTTGGGGTTGGATAAGGCCTTTGACAATGCAGTTGATCCTCAAACCAGCTCTTTAGAGGCAGCATTGATCCCTGTGGGCAGGCTTAAAAATGTGCAAATGGCCTGTCATCTCGTATCTCATTTAACCTTCCTAGTGATCCTTGGTGGTCTTACCGGCCTTGTTTTATAACTAAGGCAGAGTCGGAAATTTCCCCCACAATACTGCAGTTAGTATCTGTGTCTTGCTTTAAAATTCCTGGTTGGGTACCAGAGCTATAAATAAAATAAAACAAAAAAACAACTCATGCCCACTGAATCAGAATCTCTTAGGGTGCGGCCTGGGCATCTGAATTTTAAGATTCAGACTCTGATGTGTGGCCAGCAAACACTGAGAGCCCCTCCCACCGACACTGCCTCTTCCAAGGGCCAGAACTCCCATTTATAACCGTCTGCCCAACATCCCACCTGGGGTCTTACCCTTAGCAAGCTTGCGCAAAACGTGCCCTCTCTCCCTCCTTCTCAGGGCCTGGTACCACCATCCATCACCCAGTCTCCCCCGCTGGGAACTCAGTCATCCCCAGCTCCTCCTCTCCACTGCCATTGGTACCCAAACTGTGAAACCGTTTGAAGCCCTCCTGAAACCGTGCTGCCTCCTCTTTGGTAATAGCCTTCATCATTTTTGGTTAGGATTGCTGCTGCTGCCCCTTAATTCATCACTCTGCCTGTCTCCAGTTCTCCTGTGTCTCCATTTCTGCCTGGGGTCTTCCCATCCCTTCTCCTCTGTCCTCTCCATTCCCGAAGTCTAGCCCACATTCTTTCTCCTGCCAGACTAAAAACTATCTCAACGCTCACTTTTCTGCTTAAAAACTTCCACCAGCACGAGCCTCCTGGCTAATAACCATGCACTTTAGCACAGCAAACCCAGCCCCTCCCCCTTGGCCCAAAGCTCCCTCTTCGGCCTGGGCTCCTCCCTGGAGGCACAGGCTGCATCCCAGCCACACTAAATTTCCCCCGTGCCCCATACAAACTGTGTCCCTTCACAGCCTGTGAACACTCAGGTTGTGCCTCCTGCCTGAAATGGGCTTCTGACCTGGCTTGACTGAAAAGCTCCTACTTGTCCTGTGGGACTTTCAGAAGTCACCTCCTCTGGGAAGCCCTCCTGGAGTCCCCCACGAAGATGTGCACTGCTTATTCTGTCCTCCCCCTGCACAAAGCTCCATCTTCAATCAGAGGATAGCACTGGAATGATCTGCTGACACGTCCGTCTCTCAGGGAACTCCTCCTTCCACATTCACGTATTAAATGTCTTTCACTGCCAGGTGCAGGCCCAGATGCTGGGGATACAGATGAATAAAACCGAGCTTCTGGCTTCAGGTCTACACCACAGAGAGGAGGGGGCGGGGCATTTCAGAGAGCACACAGCAAGTGCAAGAAGCAGCCTTTTGCTGCCTGTCTAAGGGGATGCCCTAAAAGAGTGGCAGGAGATGAGGGGGCAGAGATGCTGAGAGGGAGGAGATCCGGAAGGGCCACAAGAGCTTCCTCAGGAAGCCTGAGACAACCGCCTGTTGGGCTTAGCAGCTCTTCCGACTCTTTGTGACACCGTGGACTGTAGCCCACCAGGCTCCTCTGTCCATGGGGATTCTCCAGGCAAGAATACTGAGTGGGTTGCCATGCCCTCCTCCAGGGGATCTTCCCGACCCAGGGATGGAACCCAGTTCTCCTGCATTGCAGGCGGATTCCTTACCATCTGAGCCACCAGGGAAGCCCCCCTCTACGCCACCCCCACCATGCTGTGGAGATGGTAGCTGGGAGGATCAGGATAAGACCTGTGGCTCAGAAAGATCCCTGTGAGTTTCTTGAGATTATTCCTCATCCATCTTTACAACCGCAGCACCTAGCCCAGTTCCGGGAACACAGCAGGCCCTGGAGAGACAGGGGCCAAAAGAACAAGAGAGGGACGCTGGGCGAGAAAGGTCCTCAGCAGAAAGGGTCTGGAGTCAAGGACACCGGAGTGTCTGATATTCCAGGTTTCCGGTGACTAAGCCTCGTTCCGCCCCCACCCCCTGGGGGTGCCCGCAGGTGCTCGGCTCTGGCCATGTTGGCGCTGCTCTGTGTCTACCTGCTCCTGGTGGCCTGTGACTCGGCCGCTTCGGCCGACCAGTTCCTGCATCAGATGTACTCCTTCATGGAGGAGCAGATCCGCGACATGCACACCAAGGTGACGGAGATCTGGCAGGAGACGGTGATGCAGCGGCGGGCGGCGGCCATCGACCCGGACGCCGCGCTCCATGCCGTCTGCCAGGTGCAGCCGTCGGCCACGCTGGAGGCGGAGCAGCCCCGGGTCAGCGGCCTCGTGCTCTTCCGGCAGATCCGGCCTGGCACCCTGCTGGAGGCCTTTTTCCACCTTGAGGGCTTCCAGGACGAGCCCAATGGCACAAACCACGCCATCCACGTGCACCAGTTTGGGGACCTGAGCCAGGGCTGCGACTCCACCGGGCCTCACTACAACCCGATGTCCATGCCACACCCGCAGCACCCGGGCGACTTTGGCAACTTCCCCGTGCGCAGTGGCCAGGTCTGGAAGCACCGCTACGACCTGGCTGCCTCGCTCACCGGCCCGCACTCGATCGCGGGCCGCGCCGTGGTGGTCCACGCGGGCGAGGACGACCTGGGCCGCGGCGGCAATCAGGCCAGTCTGGAGAACGGTAACGCGGGCCGCCGACTTGCCTGCTGCGTGGTGGGCCTGTGCGGCCCGGGGCCCTGGGCGCGCAAGGCGCAGGAGCACGCGGAGCGCAGGAAGCGGCGGCTCGAGAGCGAGTGTAAGGCCGGAGCGGCGGCGCGAGAGCGAGGGTAAGGCCCTCTGAGCGCTCCAGCCCACCGCGCGCCGCAGACCCCTTCTATGCGCTCTGGGAGCCCCTCCACGCCCCGACTCCGCTCCAAGTGCCCCTAGACCGCTCCACGCCCGGACTTCTCCCCAGGCTCCCGAGATCCCCTCTATGTGCCCCCGCGCCCCCTCTCTACGTACCCTAGTATCCCTGTGTGCTGTGGCGTCTCCCCCGGACCTTTCTACACCCTGACACTCCTCCAAGAGCCCAAGACGCTCTCCGTGTAACCCAGGACCCCTTCTCCGCATCCTGGGCAACCCTGGGACCCCTCAACCTCCTGACGCCTCTCCAAGGCCCACGACCCCATCCTTGAGACCCCAAGCCGCCTACCCCCTCAGCTTGATTTTGCTCCTTCCTCTTCCGGAGACACTCTGTACTCTGTGAGCACCCCTTCTGCCATGGCTAGGATCTAACTGAAAATCCCCTTCACTTCGAGGTCTTCAGCCACGTGTACTGAGACACCCCCTTTCATCCTGAGGGCACCCCGAGCTCTGAGGACCCCCCGGAGATACCGAAGTAAACCCCTGAATCCTGAGGGTCTTCCAGACTCTCTGAGATCCCTTTCCACCCTGACACCCCCACCTTCACCCTGTGAGCCCTGAGATCCCTCTATGCCCTAAGCACCCACCTCCCCCCACCTCCTACGGGCTCCTTCTAGGCACTCTGAGACCCCTCCAGAATTTACCCACCACCACTCCCCCACCTCTGCCCCCAAGCTCGTGCAGCCTGCACTGAGGTGCCTCTTCCAGGTGTCTCCAGGTATTCACCCCCCACCCCAATCCCTCAAGAGAGCAGCTCCTTTGGAGGTTGTTTGACAATGTTTGCATTGCACATTAAAAACTCAGCAAATCAGTACTTTATGGGGACCTTGGTTACTTTTTTCTTTTTGATGCTTCTCTCCAGGCTCAGCTATTTTTGGGGAATGGTAAAGGTGTTTCCCAAATCCCTATAGGACTTCTCTTCCTTCCCTGCCCAGCTCCTCTGCACGGTTTAATCACCTATTGATCCTCATGCATTTGGGTGGAGCTTGCAAGAGGGAAGAAAGCAAGATCACTTAGGGAAGTGGGAAAACAAACAAAAAAACAGCTTCCTGGGCTACATCCCAGAGCTGTAGAATTCAAAGGGAGAGGAGGAAATTTATTTGAAACAACCTTCCTAGTGATTCTGGGCTTCCCTGGTGGCTCAAAATAGTAAAGAATCTGCCTCCAATGCAGGAGACATGGGTTCAACCCCTGGGTTGGGAAGATCCCCCTGGAGAAGGGAATGGCTACCCGCTCCAGTATTCTTGCCTGGAGAATCCCCATGGACAGAGGAGCCTGGCGGGCTACAGTCCGTAGAGTTGCAGAGACGGACATGACTGAGCGACTGACGCTTTCATGCCCAGTGATCCTGATGCTGGAGCCACTGGCCTGGCATGGGGATGCACCAATGTACCTGCCTCTGTGTGAAGCCTGAGGTCCATTCCCCAGATGGTGGAGACAGGGCCAGAGAGGCCGTGTCACTGTGCCAGTTCCAGGGAAGTTGGTGTTGGTATCTGAAGTTGTCAGCCTTCTCCACAACCAGGACAATGCTCTTCTTGACATTTTTTTTTTTTTTTTTTTGGCCATGCCATATGGCATGTGGAATCTTAGTTCCGTGGCCAAGGATCAAACCCTGGCCCCCTGCATTGGAAGTGTGGAATCAATCACTGGACCACTAGGGAAGTCCCTCTTCTTAACTTCTTGATTACAAAAACAGCTGGAAGCAATGGGGTCCAAAGGTAGGTTGGTCTTGATCAAGGCTTGATGGGGGAATGGTTCTGCCTCTCCTCTTGAAAATTATAATCTATACACAGAGTAGTCAGACCAGTGTATTCACTTTCATTTATTAATGAAAGTATATTAACTTTTTAGCTTCCTGGGATAGACTCACTTCCTAGCTGTGAGTGTTCCACCCTGGTTCTTTATAGGCAGCTTCTGTTTCTCTCAGACTCTTGAGGCAGTGAGTCAAACTGAACTTTAGCCAAAAACTCATCCCCAGTGGTTATTTTTACCTCTTACTAGGACTAACTTGTTATCTAAAAACCGCTCCTTGAACCCAAGTGACAACTGGGAAGAAAGACTATTGCCTGTGAATTTGCTCCACCAACTGGTTCTCACTGGTTTTGAAACTGAACAGGACTCTGCGAGGCCTTCCCAGGGACAGACCCCTTGTGTTCCCATCCCCACATCCCCCAGTCTGTAGAAGAACTCTGGCCTGCTAGGCCTTCCCCGAGTTCTAGAGAGCAAATGGAATCAGAGAAGCGAGAAAATGCAGAAACAAAGGAAAACCATCAAGCAAGACAAAGTAAATGTTCAGTTATCGAATACTTACAAATGTAAAATAGTTATATTTTGTTATATTTAAATAAATGTTTAGTTATAAAACAGTCAAGGACCTTTAGTTCCTCCACAAGGACTATAGAGAATGTGAGCCATATCCTTGAGCCATTTTGCAGATTCTAAACCCCCTACCAGGTGAAAGGTTCACAGCATGATGACCACAACCATGTAGACCCCAGACCAGTTGGAACCAGAAGGTTGATGACTGAGATTCCTGAAACATCACCTTGTCTTCATCACCAGTCAACTGGAAGGATGTCCTTGAGTGGCTCATGCACCTTGTGACCTTCTCCTTCATCTTTAAAAACCCTTCACTGAAAACCATCAGGGAGTTCTAGTCTTTTCAACATGAGCTGCCCATTCTTCTTGCTTGGCCCCACAATGGACACCCTTTCCATCACCAAACCTGGTATCAGTAGGTTGGCTTTACTGAGTATCAGGCAAGCAGACCCCAGCTTGGTTTGGTAACAGTCTGGAGTATTATTTTAAACTGTACAGGTTGGCACTGATAAGGGATTAGTAAACTGAGTATTTAAATATCCTGATCTCAGATGCATTTGCCTATCCCCACAATTAAAAGTTGTGAACATAGGCAGAAATTTCATAGGAATACACAATAGGCAAGGATAAAAGGCCAGCACCCTATCTTTGACACTGCTGCCCAGATTACAGGTTAATTCAGGATTGTCAATGGAAGTTTGTACTTGTTTTTCAGAAGGGGATGGTGCCTCTCATTGTTTATTTTCTGTTTTGGTCCACACGGGCTGCTATCACAAAATACTGCAGGCTGGCTGGCTTATAAACAATGGACATTTATTTTTCACAGTTCTGGAGGCTGGGAGTGCAAATCAGGGCACCAACATGGTGGATGAGAGCCTCTCTGGGACTCATAGCCTGCGCCCCTTTGCTGTGTTCTTACGTGGTGGAAGGGGTGAGGGATCTCTTTCCAGTCTTTTTTTAAAGCACCAGTCTTATTCAAGAGTGTTGAAGAATTGATGCTTTTGAACTGTGGTGTTGAAGACTCTTGAGAGTCCCTTGGACTCCAAAGAGCTCAAACCAGTCAATCCTAAAGGAAATCAATCCTGAATGTTCACTGGAAGGACTGATGCTGAAACTCCAATACTTTGGCCACCTGATTCGAAGAAATTGACACATTAGAAAAGACCCTGATGCTGAGAAACATTGAAGGCAGGAGGAGAAGGGGATGACAGAGGACGAGATGGTTGGATGGCATCACTGACTCAATGGACATGAGTTTGAGCAAACTCTGGGAGTTGGTGAAGGACAGTGAAGCCTGGCAGCTGCAGTCCATGGGGTTGAAAAGAGTCAGACACGACTGAGCGACTGAACAACAACAGCGACTCATTCAAGAAGGTTCTCCCTTCATGACTCTGGGACCGCTACCAGAGGTCTCCCCTCTTAACACCATCACATATGGGGGTTAGGATTTCAACATGAATTTTGCAGGAAACACAAACATTCAGACCACAGCACCTTCTGTTTTCAGTTTCTCTCTTCACTACCTTGGACTCCCCTGGACTGAAAAGATACCCTGGCAGATCTGCTTTATTTCTGTTCTGTCCATTCATGGAAATGGGGTTGATGAACTGCTCTATGGGGTTCCAGAGCCAAGAAACAAACAAACAAAAAAGGAAATGTTAGAGGGGCAAATTACAGTTCACTGTGAGGACAAGGAATGTGTATAGCACAGTGACCACAAGTTCAGCCTCAGGTAGGAAGGCCTATTTGGAACCCCAGCTGGACCACACTTATAAACTTTGTGACCTACTAAGTGAGTCACTTCACCTCTCTGGGCCTGAGGTCTCTCACCTGTAAAATAAGATTATTACATTGGATTGTTGTGGTGATCAAATTGTTATTACTGAGAGGTGTATAGCATAGTGCTAAGGCCTAAGGATCTAGTGAATGATTAATTAATAATCATAGCTAAGGTCAGAAAAATAGTTACCTACTAATGGATTGGATGGGGGCTCCCCTGGTGGCCTTAGTGGTAAAGAACCCACCTGCCAATGCAGGAGACACCGGAGACAAGGGTTCAACTTCTGGGTCAGGAAGATTCCCTGGAGGAGGGCATGGCAACCCACTCCAGTATTCTTGCCTGGAGAACCCATGGACAGAGGAGCCTGGTGGGCTACAGTTCATGGGATCGCAAAGAGTCAGATGCAACGGAAGCGGCTTGGCACGCACGCACAGTGGATTGAATGACCTTGAAATGTAGTGAGGATTCTGTCACTGGAAGGATTCAAGTAAAGGAAAGGCTGCTACCTCTTTGGTTTGGAAGAAGGAGTTCCACATCCAGTAAGAGGCCAGCTGAGATGAATTCTGTGATCACAGCTCTAAATGAAGGAAAGACTGGCGGCCATAAGGGCAGGCATCTGGTTCCCGGCACAGAACCGGATATGCACAACCAAACCCGCCTGCAGGACCCCGCTTGGCCCCTGGAGGCTATTTTTACCCCTCTACCCTCACAGATCTATTTTGTTAATCTCCTTATAGTTGCTGTTTTGACTTCCCAGCCAGCTTGCTAATCAGTTTGCCTATTTGACTCACAGGGTTTGCGTTTGTCACTGAGACTTAAACACACACTTGTTTTGATTTCTTTTTGTAAAATTAGAAGCGTTTGATGTAATGACTCTACCTAGACACAGCTGGTAAAGTGAGAATAATGCTCAAGTTTGCACAGTGTAAACACAATGTCGACAATAATTAGAAATGCTATCTTTAGATGTTTAGGATAAGCTTTTTCTCAGAATTGCGGTGCATTTTTTTTCCAAGTGGGGCTTTTCAGTGCATGTATATACAGAAATACTAAAAACGTAAGAAAATAGAGCAAATCAGTGAGAGCTTTGGTCAACTTGAAAGATGGCAGGAAATAAACCAACTGATTTTAGATCTGGCGTTTTTGGCTGATTGCATAAAATCTTTACACTCTCCATATTTTTCACAACTTCATATGATCTAATAATTTTAGGTGACAGATTGCAAGTGATAAGCTGCTATAGTTTGCTAGAAACCATGCTCAGCCCAGGCTCGGCCTTCAGCGAGGGTGGGTGGGTGGGATAATGTAAGTAATAAAGATAATCAATCACCTACATTGGGAAAATTACATTTTAATTTCAGGTAACAAAAAATATATAGTTATGATACACGATGATGGTAGAATCCAATAAAACAAGGTCTACACCTGAATAGAAGTTACTTCTTTCTTTAAATCAAACTGCAAAACAGCAGCTGGTGTGCTTTTTTAAGTCTATTGTTTTAAATTTAATAGGCTATCACTGGCCTTCGCTACGATCCCAAAATATATTCCTGGGCTCATATAGATTTCAGAAAGTCATACTTGTCAGTATTATGCAAACTTTGCCTAAGCATCCAAAAAAAAAATCCTCATTTAGTAGAGAGGTGATATGAAACGTAAGGCAGCACATCTATATCTATCATTTTAAATTGCCATCACGCTGTATCAACTTGTTTTGTTTTTGTGAGCAACCAGAATATGGAGAGACGGGGCCTTCTTCTTTTTCTGCTTCTCATATCTAATTAGATTCACTGCCGAGCTCTCTACTGCATCTCTCTGATCTTCAAATTTTTCTCTGTTCAGAAAGACATCTGGAAGACAAGGAGTATATAACAGTAGTGAGTTAAGGGGAACCCTTTGGCTTTTAGACATCCTAAGTGAGCCGTGTGAAGTTACCCTCAATATTATTAAGGAGGAACATTTGTTCCAAATGGAGGCTTCCACAATGAAAGCCAAGGGCAGGGGGGAAGGTGCTCAAATAGAGCCAAAGAGAAAGAGGGCACCAGCTCACGGGGCAACAGGAAATGATCCAGCCAGGAGAGCCCCCAGGTTTTGGAGGAAACCAAGAGGGGCAAAGGCATGCTGTGATCTGAAGGAGACAGAAAAAGATAACCCCAATGAGCAAGCAGCTGGTCTTTGAAATTCTTTAGAGAGAAGATTGGACTTCCATTTGGAACAATTCACATGGTGAACTGGGGTGCAAATGCTCCAGTAGTGATAACACATCCCCCAGTTCACTCCAACACATGAATGCCCGACAGCAGAACTCTTTTTTAGAACTTCACCTAGTGATGGTGGTGTGTGTTTGGGAGTGAGGGCACAGAGAGGAACAATAACAGGAAAATGAATTTAGCTTCCTTAAGACTGCCAGCAGGGAAGAGGTTCCAGCAGGGGCTGAGCTGAATGCCATCAGAGGCCTCCTAGCTAGAGAGGCATCAGGAATAGATGTTCCAGGGGAAGAAGAAGGGGAGTGGGAGAAGAGGTGGGCAGAGGAGGCACAGAAAGAGAAGAGGATTAGGGGTGAGAAATGCCTGGTTTACAAAAGCCAACCCATTTCTGTGAGCCTTCATTAGAAGAACGATAAACACTCACATGTAAAAATCCACACCCAAAGGCTCTCAGGTACAGAGCGATCTCAGAAAATGCCATGTGTGCATTTCATTAAGAGACCTGCCCGCTCAGTTTCATTTACCCAGACTGCTCTGCATTCTGCTGGCAACTGAGCTGGAAAAAAATAATGGAAGGACAGACATACTTGAAGAGGTAAACAGAGGTGGGAACACGCCAGTTACAAAATAGGACAGATGATGCGGAAGCCAGGGGAAGGGAGAGATGAGATGATGTTTTTCTTAACAAACAACAACTGCTCCTCTCTCCAACTCTACATTTGCCAGTAATGTAATATTGTGGTTTTTAAGAGAAAAAATACAACAAGAACAGACGTGTGGTTCAGAGAGAATTCTGTTGGCAGCCTACTCAAATCTACTCCCAACTCTCCTACACTTCCCAAGACCTGATTTTGTTTCAGTGTTCATCCTTTTAGAGTCTGCATGTCCAGGGACAGGCTTCCTCGATAGACCTAAACCCATCACAGCAAATCCATCTTCCTTGCTAAGGACTGTTTAGACATAGGCATGTGACATGGTCAAATAGGCATGTGACGGTTTTAACCAATGAAATGTGACAAGTCCTAGGTTGCATGAAAGTATGGTCAGTTGCTCAGTTGTGTCTGACTTAGCAAACCCATGAACTGCAGCCTGCCAGGCTCTTCTGTCCATGGAACTTTCCAGGCAAGAGTTCTGGAGTAGGTTGCCATTTCCTCCTCCACGGTATCTTCTCAACCCTGGAATCAAACCTGCATCTCCTACATAGGGAGGCAGATTTTTTTTTTTTTTTTTTTTAACCACTGAGATACCTTGGAAGCCCTGACAAGCATTGGGTTACCTGCTCTTAAAACACACACACACACACACACACACACACACACACACACACAACTTCCTTCTGCCTTTGGACAATATGTGAGAACAAGTGATGGCTGGTGCTGTTGCAGCCATGTTGTTAGCATGAGGAAGTATCTGCCGCTGGGGCAGGCAGGGCAGCAAGACAGAAAATGAGTTCCTTGATAACTTTCTTGAATGAACCAGCCCTGGAATGCCCTACTACTGAATTTTTGTTATGCAATATAATTCATTTCCCTATAGTTTAAGTTTCTTAAAACTGTGAACTGTAGCTGAGAGGATCCTGACTGATGCAGGGTTATTTGGTGGAGTAGAGGATAGAATGCAGCACACTTTCACAATGACTCATGAAAAGACAAAAGACAACTGTTAAGTAATTGCTGAAACTCTTTAATGTCTTTGGAACCATGTTGGATTGGAATAGCAAAGGAGGGACAGTATCACATGGGTACAGGGCAATGTTCGGATTACAAATATGACAGGATCAACTCATTGGCTACAATTTCATCTAATAACACAAGACCCCCAACCCCAAGCTGATTGGACATACAGAATTTAGGTTAGCATTTCCTATGACCCTCTGCCCTGAACCTCACACACTGGGACTCGCAGCAATTTTTTTATCCATGATGGAATGTGTTGGAGTTTATTATAAGTCCTGGTTTTCAGCAGGTGATGGAGGCCCTAAAGACATGCACCTGGCCAACTGTGTGTCAAGACCAAGGCTATTGTGGGGAGAGATTTTTCTTTTTATTATCCCTGTATTAAATCTGGCCATGTTTTCCTGTGGTGGCTCTGGCGTCCTATGCAGTAGGGCTAAACATCTGCAGGGAGTTTAGGCCTGGTGCAACAGGAAAACAATTGCTGTGGCTGCTGGCCTGAGCAGGAAGCTTTGCAGCTGCAGAAGTGGCCTCTGGAGCGGAAGGTGGGAGAATAGGTGTGGGCAGGGGGAGAGGCTGGAGCACAGAAGAATGAGTGAATGGGGCCTTGGGGCCCAGGGGGCAGGGGTAGATGAGTCCAGCTCACTAGGAGCCACAGTGCACTGACTCAGGTGTGCCCGCATCCTGCTCGTGGGGGTGACCTCAGGTGAGTGGGGGAAAGGCAGCTGGAGGTCTTCCCAGTGCATCTGGGAAAGGACAGAACCTCTACTCTGCACCCTGCCCTCCGTCAGACTGAGACAGTGCCAAGTGTGATGGATCCCACCCTGCTGGCCGAGTGATGCCAGGAGGTAAGATGTGGAAGGGAGGTGTTGGGGGAGGAGCTGCTGGCCACCCATGTGCATGTGGGATTCCCACCTGGGATCACAAGCCTGGTCTAAATATATCTGATTTCTAGGATGAATTGATGACTTTTCTACCTTTCCTACCTTGGGAACTTCTCTTTTCTCTTCAGGAGTCTCTCTCAAAGGAGTGATTCCGGTTCTCAGGGACATTTTGAGCTTTGGGATCTGGTTTTAGGTATTCCTGGGAAATAAACCGCATTCGGCACAAGGAAAGGTCTCATTTCATGAGCCCTCAACACCCTGCAGCACCAGGTGCTGCCTGGAAAAGCTGATTTTGTTCCTAAGGGAAGCCGCAGGTGGGGGTGACCACTGTCTACTTTCCTGCTTTTAGAGCTTGAATTTGCTTCCACACTCTGCCTCCCCAGGCTGTAATAAAGTTACTTTGTTTTCCCCTCTCTTTCCACGCTAGGGCCACAAGCTCTGCCTTGCCTTTAAAACCTCAGTACCTGGCCACAGAGAGGGTGGCTGCAGCATTCTGTTGGAGGAGCAATGGCTAGAGATCCCAGGTGGTGGGGAAACCTGGATTGGTCCCAAAGCAGCTACACTGCCACAACCCACAGGACCATAAAACCCTAAATGCGGCCCGGGGTTGAAAGCAGAGAACCAGCACTCCCAGGTTTTGGCTCCCAGAAAAAAAAAAAATAAATAAAACACCATTGGAGTCCCCTTCCTCTCTGCTTGTCTACAACCTGCCATTACTCAAGGTCGATTAATCCTCTAGAATTCCAGGCTGGAAAGTTCAGCTCTAGTAGTCAGCAGACAGGTCTCAACGGGCGTTGTGGATTTCAAACTGGAAGCCTAACCTTCTGAGCCCACTTAAGCCCCTTTCCACCTGCCATTTGGTGCCAGGACAGACAGGCTGTAGGCAGGATGCCAAGAACATCCACCCTGGGAGGTCCCACCAGGCCCTGACGTGATGGAGAGGAGCCGTGGGCCCTCTGGACCCACTATGCTCAATTACACCTTACTCTGCAGGCACTGAATCATGCCAACGACGGGCACCTGATGAAAAACCCCACCCCTTTCAAACCCTTTCCATAATTTTGACCAACAACTTTAAATGCTAATAGAAAAACATCTCTAACTAAAACAAATGCTGACAGAAAAGACCGACGCTGAAAACCAGCCATCTGGCCGACATGAGCCCGTGCCTGGCCACGTTTACAGCAGTGTGGCTTCCACAGAAAGAGGCTCGGGAAAGCTTGAGGACCCGTGTTTGGTAAATCAAACTCTGCTGGCCTCATCAGAAGATTCACAGTTTGCAACCGGATCCGTGTCCCTTCTCATTGCAGGCTGGAGGTGTTTTAGGAGAAAGTGACTTCTTCGCTGAGCTGTTCTGATGCGTAATTCTTTATGTCTGGAGTACCTTCGACATGGCATCGTGCCCGATCTCTCTTCCCCTTCATGTTTTCACAGTGCTCCTTATGCCTCCTCCACCCTCTGCAGTGTCCTTATCATCCGTCAGGGTGGAAACTTTGGCTTCTGGCTGCCTGGACTCAGAGGAGTCCGGGCAAGGTCTGGGGCACGGCCCATCGGCGGTCAGGCCTGGGGGGGAAGGCCCCATCTCCTCCCTCTGACCCTCCACGGGACTCTCTCTCCTGAGCCCTTCTGGGCCTGCAGCTGCCTGCTCCTCTGTCAGTTTCACGGTCTCCCTCCCAAGCCTGTTTACCTCTTCTTCCTCAGAAGGTACTTGGAGTAATGAGGGATGAAAGTGCTTGCTTTGGTTCCTGTGGCCCTGACTTGCTGGGGAGCTGACAGCAAGCCTCCCGGCATCCTCCCGCACTGCCAACGCCTCGGGAGCAGCACAACTTTCATCTTGCTTCTGAGCCTCCCCTGAAACAGACAGCGAATGGGGGGGGATCAGCATCAGACCTCCAGCTGGAAGTCAGCCCTCACGTCCCCTCTCCTCCCAACCTCCCACTGTTGCTGGGCCTCCGAGGTAGAAAATGCTGCCGAAGGCAACACAGGACCCACAAAAAAGAAAGCAGCCACTCTGGTGACTCCTGTGTCATTAATTGAAGGAAAGGCGTCACTTGGGCCGTGTCTGTAACCCATCCTGTCCAGGCGCGTGGTTATCACCTGCTTCGCTCACCGATGGTGACTACTTGAGCTCATGAAGTATTTAAACTGAGGACAAAGGTTTTTTGTGCTGCGTAGCTCAGGGAAGATCTGGGGCTCTTCAGTAATACAAAGTGGTCCTGGCTTCTTCGGTGTGGGAAAAAGGAGTAGTTAGGAGACTGAGTTCCCCCTGCCCTCAATCTCCATCAGCACCTCATTCTTTGATGCCGACCGCTGGTACTTCCTCAATTTTAATAAAAGTTTTTATGCAAAAGCAGCTTCAAGCTCCCTATCCCTCCTAACTAAACTGTTCTCCCTAAACCTGTATGATAGAAATTCTTCAGCTGCAACTAGAGGGGGATGAAAGAGAACGTGGGTCCCTGAGAACCAGCTTCCTGCCCCCATTTTCCTATTTGCTTGCTTTGTAATCAGGACTTGTTCAGCCTCCTTTTTTACAGACGTAATATGAGGCACAGGGCTCTCTAATGTCCCTTTTGGACCTAATAAGCCACAGCGGCTCTGCGTGCCTGGGAAGAAGCACTTGGGGAGTGAACTCTTAGCACCTGGACATGTGCATTCAACACCAGACACCAAGGTTCCCAGAGGTCAAGACTGGTTTAGCTCTCAGGCCAGACGGGGATAAAGTGTCTGGAAGAGCCTTGCTGGGCAGACTGCAAGGGTGAGGGGGCTGGGGCACGTTTCCTGGTTCCCCAGATGGAGCCAGAGTAGAACCCACCACAATCAGACCTGTAGCAGATACATGCAGGTGCAATTTCAAGCTGAAAGATGGAATTTGGGGAAGCTAGGGGAGAACTGTAGGAGGCTTGAAACAAAGTTGACTTGGTATGATCACATTTCACTTACTGAATTAGGTAACTATGTGTTTTTGAGCATTTAGTTACCCAATCAAATGTTTAAAAGTCTTAAGAAACTTACACATGGCTGAACCCTGGCAAAAACTCTGAGAAACTCTAGAAGAGATGAAATACTGATGAGATCAGCTGGACCATAAGACTGCAATGAAACAGCTAAGATGAAGGGTGGGGACAATGACAGAAGAGATGATGCAGAGAGAGTGGTGGGTGTGACAACTGACAGGCTGGTCCCTGGGGAAGAGGACTGTGGTCTTCTTCAGCAGGCAGAACTTGACCTCTGTCCCTACACCCCAGACCTCTAGTTCTTCTGATATAGATTTGCGTCTCACCTTTCAAAAGAGGCCATTTCTTTCTCTTTAGCTCTTCAGATGACCACAGAAATGCCCCAGGGACAAAAATTCGACTAATTCTTTTATATAAGTCTAAAGCCTGTGTTTTAATTATGGACAACTCTCCTGAGAACTCACTGACCTCAGTAAGTATTGAATCTGAAAGCGAGACCATTACTTGTGTTTACAATGAGATTCTTGAACGTATAAATGAGTCACTAAAGCAAGTCTTGATTTTTAAAAAAGTAACTATTCAGATCTGTTCAGCCAGGATAGTGTACGTTCCTAATACGTTCCTAATAGTGTATAGTTCCTAATAGGTTCCCATACTCCTTCTGCTCAGATCCAACCTGTTAGGAGAGGAACCTTCCCTAAAACTTTGCTCCTCAAAGTGGGGTCTGTGGACCAGCAGCGGCAGCATCACTTGGCAGCTTGTTAGACATGCAGAGTCCTACCCCAGACCTACTGTTTCAGAGCCTGCATTTTAATAAGATCACAGGTGATGTGGGTGGATGTTACAGTGTGAGAAACATTAGAACTGAAACACAAATCTGACCATGCCTTTCCCCAGCTTTCAAACCTCTAAGAGCTGTCAGTGCCCAGGGAGCAAAGCCCAAGCTTCTCCTGACATTCAAGGCCTTAAGTGACTCAACATTCATCTACCTGCCATGCCAACTCTCCTCGTATCCCTACGTTCCAGCCACACCGAACCCATCATGGCACCCAGCCCTGCCCTGTGCACCTTTGCCTGTGTGCTTGATGCCTCTATGACCAGCATTCATGATGCATCCAGATGATCAATTTCAAGAGTGAGCCCTACCCTCCACCTCCTTTATGAAGCCTATGTGATTAAATCTACCCAGAGGTAATCTCCCCACTGTCCTAATCCCCACAAAATTGTGTCTGGACCTCCAAGTGAACTTTGTGCTTTTAACCCTTAGATTGTTACTTACATATAACTATTTTATAAAACCCACCTGAAGTGTAATATCTTACCCAGTTAATTTTTCACCCTGGCCAGTGTTCAACAGTGGGGGCTCAATAGATAGCTTCTTAAACATTTGAATCTATGGACATTTACATCAGTGCATGAATAAATGAACATATTAGTATATATATTTCAATACTATCCATTAATAAATGAAAGCAATCCTCAAATTTAATTTATTCCAGGTTCAGGTTGCCACCCTAAAAGTTCTTAAAATGGCACTTTCAGAAAAAGAAAAAAAAAAGATTTCTAACTCACACAAGCATTTAGCAACACCTAAGATAACTCAGGGAAACAATCACATAATTTTTGTACTAACAAGTGGAAAATGTTACAGTGCTTGTACAGGAAACAAGGGAAGCACAGAGCCAGAAGGAGCCAGTTTCCAGCACAGCGCAAGAAACTTTACTCAAAAGGGGTAAATTATGGTCTTTTCTACAGCGAATATTTTCACCAATGTGAGATGAATAAAATCCTTCTGGAAATTACTCTTATGAAATTACTTCTACCAGGACACTTAATAGTATATTCTGGTGCCCCTGAAAAATTAATTAACCTTATCCGTAACAACCTAACCCCTAAACCTTTTGCAGTGCTTTTACTGTGGGTCAGGTTAATCTTCTCTATCTTAATTTACATCTAAGGGAGAGTGGTCTAAATTACACTGAGGCCTTCTGGTCACCAGTCCCCTGCCTCATGGCATTTCTTTAGATGACATTCTGCTCGTGTTCAAATGTATGAATCTTTTTAAAATGGCAAACCTCTGAGATTACCAGGGAGAACTTTTCAACGTTTGGACGGTGAGGGGAGGGGAGCTACACTGCTGTCGTCATTACAGATCTAGACACAGCCACAATGAGGGATGAACAAGGCTGTCATTCTCTTATTTGGTCCTAGTGCACATTATTTTTTTTCCTGAGAAAGCCTAGATTTTCAGAGTCTCAGACCATATAGGGACCAGGCTCTGAGACAGGATTATGGGTCAACAGCAGGATCCACACATCCTCTTCCCCCTTTTGTTTATCCAAAAGATATCCAAAATGTATACTCAAGTCATGATCAGAAGACTGAGAAAAGTTGCTGAAAACACCACCACACTTGAGCTAATAATGAGGGTCTCTGGTTATTCGCTGTGGGAACAAAATCTTCCTTAACTCTATGATTCTGGAATGCTGATCTTAAGCTGTGGGAGTTTTATTTTCCCTTTGAGAACAGACACATGGCATGCCCATTTCCATAAAAGAAAGATTTCTGAATTAGCTCAGAATTGGAAAATAGTATTACCCCCAAATAGTAATTAATCTGTGCTGCTGTAGCAAACAGAATTAGTATCATTAATACTTATTAATAACAACATACGTATCAATAATGATGAGGCAATCAACTGATAAAAATGCGTTAGGACACAAATAGTGCAGAAAGAAAAAACATTTTCTCTAAAAGATGAAAAACAGTAGCTCTTTGTGGAAAAGATTGCAAGTCTCCTAAAAACATGTCCCCCTCCCCAAACACTGGCCCGAAGGGCACATTCATCTTCTTTTGATAACTGGTCTCTGATGGGCTTTGTCCTCCTGAGGGTGAGCTGCTTTCAGTTAGAATTAATCAGAGATACAGCAGTGATGAGGCCACCCCAGACACTGACAGCAGCTACATAAATGCTTCCTTGTTGCCACGCGTGCTGGCAAAGGATGGAGCTGGAACAATGAAAGCTAATGATGGGACTCTGGAAGCTATCATTTTGAATCAGACCATCCCTTATGCCACCCTTGTGAAAATCAAGCCAGGCTCAGACTCCATGTCAGGTTAGCAGGCCTGGGGGCTCAGCGAGCCCACAGCAGACAGAGGGCTTAAGATGTCCACGGGAACACTGGATCCTGGCATGGGATGACCACTCGCCAAGACGTGGCCCAGATGGCACAGTGGGCTGTGCTGTGTTACGGGCCAGTTTTGCAAACAACCACATGCTTCTGGCTGGGAAGTCCCAGCTGTGTCTTTCCGGGTGGAAATCACCCGAGTCAGAGGTTCTCTCCAGGAATTCTCTCTGCTTGTGCTTGCAGGACCTCTCGGCTGAAATCCCAGATAATTGGCTTCTCCTCTTAAGATTTCATGCACTAGTATGGGTGATCAGAATGGGCTTCAAAACACAGCGGTGCAGAAGCAGGAGTGACTGAGCCTTGGTGAACCCAGGTCAGATAAGCAGAACCACTCATCTGATCCAAAGACTCATGATTAAAAAATACACAGCTGTGGCTTTAAGTTCTAAGTTTGGGGGTGCTTTGTTATACAACAGTTAATAATAGACAGTTGGGGAGCCACTTGAGATTTTCTGAGCACAGTACAACTATGATGGAAAACGTGCTCCAGAGGCTTTATCGTAGAGCAGCAGGATGAAGATGGGAAGGGAGTAAGGAGATTCTGGGAGGCAGGAAAACCAGAATGGAGGCCTTGCCCAGGAGGTCAGGAGGGCCCAAACCAAGCTACAGGTGGTAGGAATGGAGATGCAAGAAACTCTGAAGAAACAGTAGCAACAGACCAGATATAAATGGAGAAGGAAAGTGCAGAGTGATTGATGATGACTCTGAGGGTTGCTGGAGAGTTAAGTGACAAGAAGGAGAGGAAGCAGGAAGGGCTGTGATGTCACATTTGAGAGTCCATAGAATATCTTGGTGGGACAGGTTGTGCTTTGAGAAAAATAGGACAGTGACTCTGTAAATAAGACCCACTGGGAAAAAATATTTCAAATACATTTTGGTAGAGGTGATGGTTGAAGGCATGATGCTCAGCAAAAGAACAGGTAGAGGAAACTGTAGAAACACAGGAAAGAACCTTGATACCCATGTGCTGGGTATCAGTTCAGTTCAGTTGCTCAGTCGTGTCTGACTCTTTGTGACCCCATGAACCACAGCATACCAGGCCTCCCTGTCCATCACCAACTCCCAGAGTCCACCCTAACCCATGTCCGTTGGGTTGGTGATGCCATCCAACCATCTCATCCTCTGTTGTCCCCTCCTCCTCCTGCCCTCAATCTTTCCCAGCATCAGGATCTTTTCAAATGAGTCAACTCTTCGCATCAGGTGGCCAAAGTACTGGAGTTTCAGCTTCAACTTCAGTCCTTCCAATGAACACCCAGGACTGATCTCCTTTAGGATGGACTTGTTGGATCTCCTTGCAGTCCAAGGGACTCTCAAGAGTCTTCTCCAACACCACAGTTCAAAAGCATCAATTCTTCTGTGCTCAGCTTTCTTTATGGTCCAACTCTCACATCCATATATGACTACAGAAAAACCATAGCCTTGACTGGATGGACCTTTGTTGACAAAGTAATGTCTCTGCTTTTTAATATGCTGTCTAGGTTGGTCATAACTTTCCTTCCAAGGAGTAAGAGTCTTTTAATTTCATGGCTGCAGTCACCATCCGCAGTGATTTTGGAGCCCAGAAAAACAAAGGCAGCCACTGTTTCCACTGTTTCCCCATCTATTTGCCATGAAGTGATGGGACCGATGCCATGATCTTAGTTTTCTGAATGTTGAGCTTTAAGCCAACTTTTTCACTCTCCTCTTCCACCTTCATCAAGAGGCTCTTTAGTTCTTCACTTTCTGCCATAAGGGTGGTATCATCTGCATATCTGAGGTTATTGATCTTTCTCCCGGCAATCTTGATTCCAGCTTGTGCTTCTTCCAGCCCAGCGTTTCTCATGATGTACTCTGCATATAAGTTAAATAAGCAGGGTGACAATATACAGCCTTGATGTACTCCTTTTCCTATTTGGAACCAGTCTGTTGTTCCATGTCTAGTTCTAACTGTTGCTTTCTGACCTGCATACAGGTTTCTCAGGAGGCAGGTCAGGTGGTCTGGTACTCCCATCTCTTTCAGAATTTTCCAGTTTATTGTGATCCACACAGTCAAAGGCTTTGGCATAGTCAATAAAGCAGAAATAGATGTATATAAGTTATCTAATGCTGTACAACAAATTACCTTGAAACTTAGCACCTTAAGACTCTGGAGCCTACAGCAGTTTATCTGGGTGGTTCTTGCTAATGGTCTCTAATGTGGTTGTCATCAAAACCTTAACAAGGGTGGTTGTCATCTGGAGGTATGACTGGGGCTGGAGAATCTGCTTCCAAGATGGTGCACTCATGTGGCTGATGGCTGGAGGCCTCAGTTCCAGGCCACACGAAGAGCATGTGGGGATGCTCAAGAATCTTTGTGACATGGCACCCAGCTTTCTCTACGGTGAGTGATCCAAGTCAGAGATTCCAAGACAGACCATGTGCCTTTTATAACTTGACCTCAGAAGTCATGTACCATCACTTATGTTGTAATCCACCAGTCACATAGACCAATGTGGGAAAGAACTATACAAGGGCATGAATGCCAGGAAGTGGGGATCATTTGGGGCCATCTTGGAAGCTGGCAACCACATTGGGGGTGGAGGAAGAAGCTGAGCAAAACTCAGCAAGATGTGAAGGATAGTTTAGCTAAAGAAATAAGACTACCACCTGGAAAGAGATCTGGTTCTAACCTCGTTGCTTCACCTGGCACCTTAAATGGGCCCTTGATCTCCTTTAAAACACACTGCCTCCAGAAAATGTGCCTGGTAAGGAAGATTTTTCCTTCATCCACCTGATTCCCAGACTACTTACCACATGTCAGGCAACGTGTCAAGACTTCCCTAAGGTTGGCAGTGTCTCATCTCACTGTCTTATAGGAAAGGAAACTGAAGCTGAAGTTATCAGTCCAAGTGCTCACTACCAGTGTGATGTGAGGCTGGAATATGAACCCAAGTTGCTTAAATCCTGCACCCTCACTCTTTCTACTACACTGAGAGTGCAGGAACCAGTGTTCTCCTGCTGGAAGCTCCAAATAAGGGGAAGCACGAGGGATGACCCAAAAGTGCTGCAGATGCTGCAGAAAGGTGAAGGACTGGTGTCCACTAATCCCCTGCACCAGGCACAGGCCAGGAAACAGCCAAGAAATCAAGGGCTTGCTTACCATCCTTGGGACTTGCTTTGTTTTCAGCGGGCTGCTCCACGAACTTGAGCAGTGGGGATCTTGACCTCTGCATAGTGGGAAGAGCGGGGTCACTGAACAGTATGGTGTCTTTGCCCCCTGTCACAGAAAAGAGGAAAATGGACATATTATGTCACCAATGGAGTGGTGACCACACTCAGCCCACCCAAGGGACGCCCCTTCTTCAATCATAGACAGTGCCATGGTGGAGAAGGGGCAACCTACCCTCTCCACAGTGAAGGCAGGGCAGAGGGGTCCAGGGCCAGTCTGCTCAGAACACAGATGCCCACAAATGCCACTGTTAAAGAGTAGCATGCTGTGTCTGTCAGAAACGGAACGGCTTTCATCCGGGTGAGACAATAGCAATACTAACAAGAGCAGTAGCGCGCTCTGAGTGCAGGCTCTGGAGCCCTGCTGTAGTGCTTATGTCCTGGAGCCCATCACTTGCTAGCTGGGTGACCTTGGACACGTCACTGAGCCTCTCTGAGCCTCAGAGCCCTCATCTGTAAAGTGAGGAAGCCATCTCAGGGGGTGGTGGTGATAAAATGAACTGATGCACGGAAAACACTGAGGCATTTCGTCAGCACTCAAGGAATTTCACATATTGAAATGACTGTTTTATGGTATGGGTAGAACTGCCATACACACTGGGTCTGATTTAATTAGATCTGGTCATTTAAACTGAATCATAAGTATGTCATAAGGCAGGTAGTATAAGGTTCCCCAAATGATCACAGCTAGACTCTATTTAGGATATAAAGACACATCCCAGCCAAACCCTTTTATCAATTCATATGAGCTCCCTAAGTGGGCAGAGAAAGCCTGAGATGAAGAGGAAGAGGAAAGGGAAACCATTACAACTCTATTTTTGAGGCCATGGCAAGGTATGAAGGCGAGGAGCAGGGAGGTGTGGCTTTGAAATGTGAGCTTGATGAGCATAGACACATGGACACAAAACACGTGCACAGAAGGTGATGCTGCCCCATGGTCAGGTGAGGGAGGATTTGATCTCCAGCTCCTGCCCATGAACCCTGAAGATTCTCTTGGTGGGTACCACCATGCCAACAGTGAACCCCAGGGCCATGGCCCAGCCCATGCTCCAGCCTCAGCTGTCTGACTTTGAATGAAACCTTATCTGAAGCCAAGTCACTGAATGTCTCTGGGGCTCAAATCAGAGGCTCTAAATTTCTATGATTCTACTCAGGTTTGGTGGAGCACAGAATGGTATTTGGGTCAAGATATCCACTGCCTTGGAGAATGAGGTAAACCTTGGCCTGTACCTTGTTTATAATACCAAGCCCTTAACTTGTTTATAATACCACCCTCCCTGTTGGCCATGCATGTAATCTTATTAACTTGATTTCCAAGACTAGTAGAGAGTTTACAGCTGATAACTGTGAATAAATGGTTGATGCATTCTTAGGAATCCTGATGTTTAATTGGTGGGTATGGATGCCTGCAGCAGCCTCAGGCAGATGGAGCTTGTTATTAGCAGCCATCACTCTCAGGTTTCTGCTTCATGAGGGTCATCCCAGAAGAAGAGAAATCTGATAGGAACTGACCCTGAAGTTCTCCACAAGTACAGATATTGTCTCAAGTTGAAAGAAATCCAGAATCTTTAGGACCACAATCTGGAGAGGTTTCCCAAGGAGAACCACTGAACTGAAGCTCTGGATATTTTAAGAGGCTCTCAGGATGAAGCTATGACAAACCTAGAGAGTGTATTAAAAAGCACAGACATCATTTTGCTAATAAAGGTCCGTCCAGTCAAAGGTATGGTTTTTCCAGTAGTCATGTAGGGATGTGGAGTTGGACTATAAAGAAAGCTGAGTGGCAAAGAATTGATGCTTTTGGTGCTGGAGAAGACACTTGAGAGTCCCTTGGACTGCAAGGAGATCCAACCAGTTCACCCTAAAGGAAATCAATCCTGAATATTCATTGGAAGGACTGATGCTGAAACTGAAACTCCAATACTTTGGCCACCTGATATGAAGAACTGACTCACTGGAAAAGACCCTGATGCTGGGAAAGATTGAAGGCAGGAGGAGAAGGGGATGACGGAGGATGAGATGGCATCACTGACTCGATGCACTTGAGTTTGAGTCAGCTCCACGAGCTGGTGACAGACAGGGAAGCCTGGCGTGCTGCAATCCATAGGGGTGCAAAGAGTCAGACACAACTGAGCAACTGAACAACAACAGGCCCAAGTCGATGCAGTCAGGTCTCCCCTTGTGTTGCAGATACAATCCGGAAACACCACGCGGAAATAATGGTTGTTACGAAGCCACACCAGATGTCTCAGGTGGGCTCCTTCCGTTTCTCTTCAACAAGGCAACAGTCGCTGTCCTAAGCTAGGGGCAGAAGTGCAATTCCTGTTCCATCTTCCCAGCAGACACGCGGGCAGCAGAAGCACACTCTATCCTCTGCCCCAACAAGCCTTCCAAGTCCACTCTGTCCTGTGGTCGAGGAATCAGAATGTGGGTGGAGCTGGGGGCTGGCTGCAGCCGAATGAGTGAAGGCAGTAGGAGGGAGAGTCTCGAGCCTTCCTATTGTGAGGAATGACTCCCTGGCCCTCTTCAATCACAGTGAATTATCCACTCCACCACGGCTCCTCAGAAATGCTGGGGGGTGTGTGTGTGGGTGTGCTCAGTCATGTCTGACTCTTTGTGACCCCACAGACTGTAGCCTACCAGGCTTTTCGGTCCATGGAGTTCTCCAGGCAAGAATACTGGAGTGAGCTGCCATGCCTCCTGCAAGGGATCTTCTCAGCCCAGGAATCAAACCTGCATCTCTCGCATCTCCTGTATTGGCAGGTAGATTCGTTACCACTGAGCCACCTGGGAAGCTCTGAACTTCTGCAAGAATCTGAGCAACAGGCATGCAGACGAGGGAAACAGAAACCACCATTTGTCCATAAATTAATCCATATCTAACCAAGTAGGGGTTGGAGGAGAAGATAAACACCTTCCGAAATCCCCACCTGCAAAGATTACTTCCTTATCTGATGCTAAAATGTCAAGATTTGGTTTTTGCAAAACATTTTCAAAGACCCTCCTTAGAAGGCTCTCAGGTCTGTTGTTTCTAAGCCCAGACTCTCTCTGTATTGACTATATTGAACTCTAATCTGATGGTCTGCTGTCTCCTAGCCCCATTTCGGTCCTTGGGACTGGGGGATGGGGTGTGCACTATCTACGAACTAAATTCAAACCACAATCAACACAGGTCACACAGGCCCTTCTGTTCAACTGGTGTTTGAGTTTCCAGAAGCCCCCCTGATTCCCTATAACATAACAGCACTCCTTCCTTTCTCCAAAATGTGCCAGTTACTTTCAGAATGCACATTTTCCTCCTCAGACTGATATTGAGAGTGGAAAATAGAGAATTCAAATAAAAAGCTCAAAGAGCCAGGCTCTGCTCTTGCCAGACTTTTTTTTTTCTGGTTTTCAGTGTTTCTTTTCAGAGCATGAGCACATCCAGGAAACCTTCTCTCAGCGCCTGTCCCCCGCCCCCTCCAAGCATCATTCTCACCTGCAGATGCCAGCAAACCACTGGGAGAGGCGGCTAACAGATAGGGGGCTGGGGAGAGTGGAGGGTCATTCCGTCCTGAGGAGCAAGGTCCACCAGCTCACCCCCTGGCTTTCTCTACAGAGCCCTGCATCTCCCCCACCTCTCAGGGACCTGTTAAACAGTCTGGAGTACTCACTGCTTTCCAGATGATTTCTCCACACAGGCTGTGACATCTGTCAGACTTGCCTGCTTCCCGGCAAGATCACACATTTGCCCCAACTCTATCCAACCCCACCAAGAGCTGTATATTGTTGGCTGAGAGAGTGAGGAGGGAGGGAGAAGAGAGTCAAAGAGAAATCAGAGCATGCTCCAAGGCCAAGAGAAATTCTGCCTTAGAGTCATGAGAGGTGGCCTTCTTCACCACCGTCCTTTAGAGTCTTGGGAGAGATTGTTCCGGCTTCTGAATGTTTCTTCTCCAGCTCATCCTGCTTTGAGAACCAGTCCCCAGCTGATCTGATCTACGCTCCCCACCCTCCCTCACTCTCCCACCGGCCAGCCCCTACCTTCTGTGTCTCTTTCCTGAACTATACTTTCCCTGTGCAGATGGAGCACTGAAATGAAGATCTGAACACCTGAGTTCAGCCTCTGTGGCCTTAGGTACTGAAGAAGGAATTCATAGGGCCAGGACTCCATCTCAGGCCTATCTGTGCTGATCATGCTCGGCTGCCTCTCCAGTGGACTCTGAACTCTCTGCTTAGTGCCTGTGGGAACGACAATGGGAGGATTAGACCCCCTCTGGACAGGGGAACCTTGAAGATCACATCCAGGTTACTCATTGCCTAAGAGGAAACATACCATAATCACCCCTGTCTCCGGACAGGTCATAAACTTTTTCCGTATCTATCAGGATGTAATCACAGGCTTATCGATTATTAACTGGTTGGAACGTGACCACAGGCTTATTGATTATTAACGGTTTGGAATGTAACTGCGGGCTTATTGATTATTGACTGTTTGAACACATAACACGTGAATGATGGGGTTATTGTAGTTATATTTAGCCTTCCTTTGTTTATGTAAGTCTCAAGGAAATTGGGGTGGTGGGTTTGGACACGTACACATGGGGTATAAAAGATTTTCACAAATGCCTGTTGGGGTCCTTGGCTAAGAGGAGACTCTGCCTTGGGCCCGTCGGTGTAATAAACTGCACTCCACTATCTGTATTGTCCTTCTGAGTGAGTTTGTTTCCCGGAAAGCATGGCTATAACAGTATCACCCAACTTCTTGAATTTCTGTTTCCTTATGGAAATTTCTGTTTCCTTAAAATGAGGGGATCAGACTAGTTCATGAAAGGGAAGAAGGTTTTCTCTCACATGTCAACTCTGACCAGGAGGTAGCTTCCTGGAAAGCCAATGTGAAAGACCATTTTGAGGGCCACATGTGAGATTAGCAAGGAAGGGCGATGTGATTGATTAGCCATGTCTGCCACTGGCACGGAAATGATGCTGTGTAATAGATACCAAGTATTTGTCATCCTTGAACTTTTTGCTCTCAACTGTCATTCCAGGTCCAGCATTCAATGACTTGTCACATTATTCCCTCATACATTATCATCTTTATTGCTTCATTGACACTCATGTATAATTTTGTGTTTTCCTTTCACTGCATGATACATATTCATCACACTTTCCTACCCACTCCAGCACTCTTGCCTAGAGAATCCTGTGGACAGCGGAGCCTGGTGGGCTGCTGTCCATAGGGTTGCACAGAGTCGGACATGACTGAAGCGACTTAGCATGCATGTATGCATTGGAGAAGGGAATGGCAACCCACTCCAGTATTCTTGCCTGGAGAATCCCAGGGACGGCGGAGCCTGGTGGGCTGCTGTCTATGGGGTCGCACAGAGTTGGACCACGACTGAAGCGACTCAGCAGCAGCAGCAGTGGGACTGTTGATTCTTGGAGGGGGCAAGGGGCATGTCTAGACCGCCTGGTACAGGACTGAATTCACAAAGTTGATACTCAGAAAGTATCAACATGTTATGGACTGATCTGTTAGAGGAAACACAGATCCTTTCAAGACTGCCAAATAACTGAGAGCTAGCAATTCTCTGAAACCACTGGGTCTCAATCCCCTCTACTTGGCTGAAATAGTAAATATTCCCTTACTTAGCGAAAGAGGAAGAGGAAGAAGAGAAAAGTGGAAGAAGAGAAAAAGGAAGTGGAGGAAATAAGAGGAGGAAGGAAGAAGAGGAAGAGGAGAAGAAAAAATATAACATACTTCCTCTCGCTCAGCTATTAGAGCTTAAATGGAGACCATACAACGATGAGCAAATAGAAGGAACTGGTCTAATTTGCACAGAAAGAGGCCCCTCTCCCCCGACCGTGGTTTGAAAATGATCCTGAGGTGATGCCTCGTTGAAACATCCTTTATTACTGCATCAGGGCAATGCTATCACAGTCACATAAACGGTCTCAGATCAGGGGAATTGCCATTCTTTTTTTCGATCCTCCCACTTTGTACCCATGTGGAGGCCAGAGATTAGAACAAATAGGCTGGGGCATAAAATTCATTCAGTCGCTGCCCTCCAAGCAAATGCTACCATTTAATATTTGCTTTGTGCTAATTGAATTCTCTATTTCAATTGACTATTCTAATCAGAAAAGTGCAAGGATACAAAGAGAATGCATTTCTATTTATTTACATGCAGAGATGATATTAACGCACTGCTATTAACCACAAACACAGATATTTCAAAAAGAACATACTCCCAAATCCTATGGAAACATTGTAGCTCAGGCCTTCAGGCAGCAGCAGAAAAAAAAAAAAAAAAAAAAGGAAAGAAACAATTGTTATTGCATAATAGCCATTCTAACCTAGACCAAACAACAGCAGAGATAGGAAATTCTCAGCATTCTTTCATTTACTCGACTTCCATCTTTTTACATAAGTTGTAGAAATAAAACATTGTGAAATCTCACTAAGTCATTTGGAGAGAAAAAAAAAAAATCCAAACGCTAGAACATGCACAGAAATAGCAATCCGACTGCACAAATAAACGATAAATTTGCCTGACTGTGTTGAAATTCAATGCAATAAAAGAAAGGCCTTCAAAGGAGATAAGGTTTTAACTGCATCAAAAGATTCTTGTGCAAAATGGATCATTCAAATCCCCAGGATGGCACTTGGCACTAATTAGGTCTGTTAGGTCTTCTGACATCAAGTTCAAGGAATCTCTACTAAAAATTGCAATTTATGAAATACACTTCCAGACAACCTGAGGCGGCTATTCAGATTTACATTAAGAAAACATGTGGTTTTGTCCATGTCCCTGTGGCAATGTTCATTTCTCATACATTATAAGGAAGCAACGGATATGATTCAAGGGTAGAGAAGGGTTTGTGCAGAAAGGTTAAGTAACTAAAAATATATGTACAAAGTTGCTTCCAGGGAAAGAGGAGGTGGTAGAAAATGATAAATACAAGTTTCTGGAGAATGTAGAGAGAAAGAAGAAAGCTGATGGGGGTCTCATGAAGGGGGGTATTTTACCAAGACAAACGGGATAAATATAGCTAATTAATGTGAAACATCAAGTTTCTTCACACCCTGCACCACTGCGGGGAAAAAAAATCTACAGCAGAAATTTTTATTTTCAAGCTTTGTAGCAAATGGAATGAGGGAAGAGGGAAGAAGGTTGTAAAGCGCATTTGGGTTAGAACAATTGTTGGTTCTTATATTCAATTTGAAGACTGATGATCAAATTGAACATGTCTTTGTAAGTTTGTACATTCATTTTTAGAATGAATGATTAAATAGAATAAATTTTTGTGAGTCCTTATATTCCTTTTTAGGGGTGATGATTAAACTGAACACATCTCTATAAGACACCTACAGGGAAAAAATGAAGCAATTTACCATACTCACAAAAGTTAAAAATAACACACACAGACATATACAATGACAATTTCAGAATTTAGATTAGCAAACTTCATAGTTCACTTTGTATATTTATTAGTTTTTTTCCGATTTCCTCCAAAATGATGGCTTTTAATTTCAAACACTTGTACACGTCTCAGCAATAATCTTCAAATAAAAGAACATTAAAAAGGTAAAGTCTGCTCTGCAAATTTTCAGAAAAAGAAATTTTTATAAATTTCTGCTTACCTGGGAGACTCCACAAACCAGAAACTTCCAGAGTTCTTAATTTTTTCTCCAGTTCAGCCACCCGATTCCCTAGGATTCTGGAAAAGGGGAGAAAAATGGCAAATGACAGATCAATGAGCATCTGTCTCATTAGCTCTCAGGGCTGTGAGCAGGCTATCTGGGAAGGCTGGTGATGCCCTAGTAGAGAGAAAATGTTTTGAGACTTAAGACACATGCTAAAAACAGTGTGTGTGTGCGTGTGTGAGCACACACCCACATGCTAAACATACACAGACTCTACTGAAAGTACATATGAAAATATAAAGTGAATGATTTAAAATGATTTAAACCTTACTAAAGTGTTGCCATTCACGTGAATCTTCTCCCACAAAGGTAGCTGGGAAGCCAAAGAATCATTCTACCATTACCCAGGCATCTTACATCATTTCTGTTTGGGAATTCCTCGTGGCTAAAGATGACACTTAGTTGTGAATACCCTTACAAGTATCACAACTTGACTGTTTGAGGGTGGATCTGAGTTTTAGAAGTAACCAAGTCTAACAAATAAGATGAAAGAACATGCTTGGTGATGTTACTTCGAGTCAATAAGATAATATCCACCTTCTTAGACCTAACCTATGGCTTACAAATGGCCATATCCTTGATATCTAGCATAATACCTGGAGATAGTAGGTGCTCAATAAATATATTTCATTAAATAAATCCTTTTTTTCATAGCTTGTAATGATCTCTGGAATTTAAAAATAGGCATTTGAAAAACTTTCAGAAATTATAGGATCACTAAAATAATTACACTGCTTTCCAAGATGACTATTCTGATTCACTATGATGTATAAGATCTTGAATGTGTATTTTAACAGATTACTCTGTCTACTTGGAAGCCAAACTTTGTCTCTATGCATGAAGAGACCTAAATGTGGCCACATATTTCCCCTCCTTCACTCTACACAAAATTAAATATAGTTGGGAAATGATGTGATAGTCATCTGAAACTTCACTCACTTTTCATTGGCTTGGAAATTGAAAAACCAGTCTTTATCTTTGGGGGATTTTCTTGGCACTGCTGTGCTAAAATGATGTGGAAATCACCTTAATAGCAATGTTCCAAATTCTTTCAGCAGGAGAAACCAGAATGCCAGAACTGTTCTTCTATACTTCTTTACATTCCAGACATAGATGCACACACCCACATACATACCAAGATCTGAATATGTATATATCTGCATATATGTATATTGCTTCAAATGCATCCTCATTTTACCTGAATTGACTTGCAGACTCTTAATCAACATTCCCTTTGAGTTCACAGAAAACTCTTTGATGTGACTCTATGTGGTTTTGTTCATCTAGGTACTTAGAGCTTTTTTCTTTTCTTCTTTTCCTTAAGTCTTAAATTCTGCATAGTCTTTATCAATTCCTTTCAATTTTCACTCCATTTGTTGGGTCTATTCGGCTTTCATGTCTCTGACCCCTCAATAAACACTTTTCTTCGTAATCTTGCTTTCAATATTTTGCTCAGACCTTCTGATCCGAGCTCCCTTTTCACCAGATGATGGGTTTGAGATGCAATCACATTGGTGTTCAAGCTGATGCCTGCTTCTTAGAATGATCAGATCACCTGTACGTGGCTGCTTCTTGGAAACAAAAGATAAGGCTTAACTCTTCTGTGTTCAATGAAAGATGCCATCAGGGCAATGCTCAAAGGCGTGGTGAAGAGACATTTGGTTGTATTTTTTCTGATGTTCTTGGATAACGCAGCCACATCTCCCAGAAATGTGCTGATGTGAATCTGCTGGTGTCTGGGACAATCTACTCTCAGGGATCTTGCCTTAGTTTGTCGGTGCTGACTGCTTTTTTCTTTAGCCTGACACAGGCATCTGCTGCAGGGCTGGAGGTAGTAAAATGGACCCACTAGAAGTTGCAGTAGTAGTAATGGCAACAATAACATCATCAGTAACAATAACAACTATTCTATGGTTAACACAAACAGCAATTAACCGTTCCTGAATCCCAGGTCTGAGTCAGAGTGCATGCCAAACATCTACCAAAAGTACACTTTCTTCTCTGACCTGACGAAACTCTGCAGTGTAGACTGTATTTTTATCCTCCTTTTATACATGTGGGCCCTAACAGAGAGGTTCAGCAGTTTGTCTAAAGACACACAGTTCATCTCAAATCTGTGTTTCCCAACCCCCAGCGTTCTCACCCAGCACCCTCTGCTCCCATTAGAAAACAGAGGCATAGAAACTAGTCAGCATAACTGAAACCACATGCTGGACTCAGCTGGTGACGAGTATGGATTTTTAACCTATGCCTCAGGTAGACTAACCTTTGCCTTCCAAGTGCACGTTCTTAACCAATAACACCCTAATAACACTAGAAAACCAGCATTCACAGGCCTAAAGCAAGTTCTCTTTAAAACTATGCATAACTGAAATATGGATGCAGCCACAGCTGGACCTGTAAAATATAACCTAAGATGCTTCAAATGACAGACGGTCTTCTAGTTGGCTTCACACTGAACAGATACAGCAGGTGGCCCACTGAAAGTGATGTGACACAGCCCAGGGAGAGGAGAGGCTTATCAGAGTCTTCATAGCTGGCAGGACACACAGATGGAGACAGTAGAAGTAAAGACAGGGTCTGTTCAGTGAAGTTCAAGCAATTCAACAATTATTGAGGCTGTAAGGAACAAAGATGAGAAGCTATATCCCACAAGAGCCAGTGGGGATGTAGGAAGCGAAAGGAACAGAGTGTTAGAGGAGGAGGTGATCTTGGGATACCTGAGGAGACAGATGGACATCTTGGGGAGACAGGAAGATCCAGGAGTGCAAGGATGAGAGTGTATGCTGGGGGCAGGTCTACTCTCCAACACGAAGGGAGAAGTCAGAACTGGGGACCACAGCACCACCTGCGTAAAGCGAGAAAGGACCAGAGGAACACAGGTGGAAAGGGAAACAGAAGCACCAGGGCCACGTGGGGAAGGGAGAGAGGGTTCCAGGTCAGGCAGCATAGTCTGCATCATCTTATTCTAGAAGGTGGTCACACAGGTGAAAAAGGCCACTGAGACGGTGTGCCCAACCCTTGAGAGAGCTGTTACAAGACAGAGGAAGGGGTGAAGTCCAGAGTCCAAGCGACAGGGCTGGAAAAGCAGCCTATGAGAAAGCTGAAGCGGTGAATACAGATGACTCTTCAAGTAGTTTAGCAGGGAATCCAAGGAGACAGTCAGGGCAGTAGCTTGAGGCATAAACAGGCTTGAGAGAGGATTTTTTTCTTTGTAAGATGCGGGGGTGGGGGGGTGTTTAAAATAAAGTTTTTATTTAGCTGTGGCTTGTTTTAGAATAGGGAAAATTTTAGCATATGTCTACCTAGTAGTCTAGAAAAAACTTCAAGACACTGGGCTTCTAGATAGGATTTTCAGTAATGGTTTCTGATAGTAAAACACCATGTGTCTGTTAGTTGCTTAGTTTTGTCCAACTCTTTGTGACCCCATGGACTGTTGCCTGCCAGGCTCCTCTGTCCATGGAATTCTTCAGGCAAGAATACTGAAGTGGGGAGCCATTCCCTTCTCCAGGGGATCTTCCCGACCCAGGGATTGAACCCAGGTCTCCTGCATTGTAGGCAGATTCTTTACCATCTCTGAGCCACCAGGGAAGCCCATAGGGAATCTGCAAAAGACAGAACTAACTCAGGAACTAGCGACCACTTTGCCTCCATCCTTTCTCTCTGGACAATGTGGGAAGCAGGAATCTTGAGTGAGGGCTCTTGGGGGGAGCCTGATCCTTTAAAGAGAAAGAGCTGGCAATGGCCCCACACAAACTGCAGGTAACCTTGCCCCCCACCTTCACCCCAGGAGATCTTCTTTTGAATCTTTGCTCTGATCCAGGATAGCTCCTGCTGCTTCCAAGATCTTGAACTTCCAGGCTACTTACCATTGGCCAGGAAAGGGAGAGAGCAGTCAAGAGTTTTAGGCAAAGCACATAGGGTGGTGAAAGGCCAGGATGACCTCATGTCTAAACCACTGCTGCCAGCACCCCACCCCTGGCGGAGCGAGGGCTCGTTGGGAAGGGCTGGAGAACAGAAGGTGGTGTTCCACGAGACATGCTCTTAATATTTGCCTCTTCATCATTAACCTGTTTGTAAGACACACGAACCCCATCCCTTCTTTTATAATAGCTGGACAGCTACAAACTCGCAACAAGTACCTCAAGCAAAATGCTTATTAATTGAATATGCTCTCAGATTATAAAGTCCAAGGTTTATTCATCAGTTTGTCAAGATGGCTCCCATTGGGCCGCCTTCGCCTTAAGGGACAGGAGGATGGGGATGGGCAAGGGGTAGAAGGGGTAAGTGCCAGGCAGTGCAAAAACCAGTAGGGGGCGCACACTCTTACAGAACAGAACACCGGCATTCATTCCTACTTCTAATGCTCCACCTCAACAAAGCCATTGTTAAAATTAGTTACAAAAGGCTAAATCAAGGGGGATAAGAGCAAGCACACCAAATTCACACTTTATTCTTAGCCCCCACTCCATCTGTTAAATAATTGGTTTTTCACATACCCCCAAATAAAACATTTATTGGAAGTATGAAACTTAAGACCCTCGAAGTATTAAAAATGGCACATTAGGTACTTAATGTACTGATATGAGGCAGTCTTCAAGACCTATTGTTATGAGAAAAAAGCAAGGTGGAAGACAGTGAAAAAAACTTTTTTTTGATGAATACTAGCTACCATTTGCAAAAAAATAAAAAGAGAGAAAGAAAAAAGAAAATCTATATGTATATAAGATATATGAGTATTGATGTGTGTCTATATAAATGTATTATACATTTGCTTATATATGTATCCTTGGAGAGGATACATAAAAAATGAGGAACAGTGGTTTCCTCCAGGAGGGTGGATTGGGTGGCTGAGAGACATTGGTTTGGAGATATATTGCTGTTTAACCTTTTAAAATTTGAATCAGATGGTTCAAAATGATTAAATAACAGTTAAAAACAAAAAGCTGCATTAAAGAAACAGCCTGCAAAATGAAAATGTCTATCTTTCTCAATAGAAAGCGAGGGTCCATGAAACCTGGAGATGTGTGCGGTTGCAGTGGGGTATGGTGGGCATGTATAAGGAAATCAGTCCATCATAGGAGGTGGGAGTGTCAGCCAGCAGCTTCGGAACACTGAGTTTAGCAGGCGGTGGGACTCAGCGGGGCTTTTCGGTGGAGGCTTGCACTGTGATCAGCACCGAGGTTGGCAGGTAGCATGCCCAGGTAAATAGCGGAGGAGGTGGGTGGGGGTCTGAGGATAAAGGGTTCATGGGAGGATCTTCCTAAGGACAAGATAATGAATGGTCTGGTGGGGAGCAAGCAGAGGGAGCAGGTAGGAGATGAACACAGAAGGGCCCTGGCAAGCATTCAGGAAATATATACTGAGTAAATGAACATATGCCTGAAAACCGTAAAACTTAATGCCCATTTCCACATGAGTATTAAGGGAAGAGGAATAAAGGGTTAGACCAGTCAATCATCCATTCATCATCAAATAATTACAAGCAACCATTGTGGGCCTAGCACTGTCCAACGTACTGGAGAGAACAGTGACCAAAATGGACAAACATTCTGGCCTTGGGACAGCTGCAACCCAAGTGATGTGGAAGTTCATCAAACCTAGGCACTAGGATGGTGGGCAGAACATGTTAAATATTCTTCAAGTCACACTTTAAGGGGCTGCATAATATTCTGCCTTATGGATTTACTATAATCATAACCATTCTCCAGGACTTCCCCAGTGGCCCAGCAGTAAAGAATTCACCTGCCATGCAGGAGCCACAGGAAATGCAGCTTCTATCCTTGGGTCTGGAAGATCCCCTGGAGGAGGGCATGGCAGTCCACTCCACTATCCTTGCCAGGAAAATTTCATGGACAGAGGAGCCTGGTGGGCTAAGGTCCACAAGGTCACAAAAAGTTGGACACAACTGAAGCGACTTAGCACGTACACATGCTACCGTTCTCCAATTTAAAAATATTCTGATTGTTTCCACTCTTTTTCTTGTTGTTGTTTCCACGCTTACAAATGAATCTACAGTGAACCACCTCATGGATAAATCTTAGAGCATCGTTCTGATTTGTTTCTTTCAGATACATTTCTAGAAACTGACCCTTTGGGTCAAAGGGCACAAGCATTTTAAGGGATATTAAAACACACTAAGGAATGGGTGCTCCAGACTCTAGACTCATTGAACCTGAGGAGCTGAAATTCAGGAGAAACTGTACTGAGCAGCCGGAAATGTGGGTCTTGCTCTTGACGGCAAGGTGACAAGAGTTCTAAGAAGGGTCTGCAGAGAACAGGAAGCAAAGACAGGTCCCCTGAGTGGGGGTAAGAGGATGGAAGATCAGAGAAGACAGGAAGAGGAGGAAGAGGCCTGGGATGGAAGGAGGGGAAGAGAAGGGAGAGGGAATGAGGCAGCAGAGAGAGCAGAAGGAATCCAAGAAGGTGGTTTTCAAGATGGGAATTGGGATGAAGAGCAATCATAGAAGAAAGAGACTCAGAAAGTGAGGTTTGGGGGTACTGGTGACCCTCACAGGAAGATTGCTACGGAAAATTCAGAAGAGGTCTTGGGAGGTATTCAAGCCTGCCCCTGGCATCACTGGGCACCTGCTAAAATTCAGAATCCCGACATTCCTTCCAGAACCCCCTCAAATCTGCATTTCTAAACAATCACCCCCTTCAAGTAATTCTACCATAGGTGCTTCCCCCCCCCCCCCCCCCGAACACACATTTGGGAGGTGGTTGATGAAGAAGTAAAGGTGGCCTCTTGTTCACAAAGACTGGAGGTGAAAGGAATTCACGGGAACCCTTTGGGGGCGGATGTTTAAGAAGATCTGGGAAGTTTCTGGGTGAAGATGCATAAGCAGCAGGAGGGGCAGAAACTGAAAAGGTTGAAAGAGGAGGTCACAGGAGAGCCAGGCCCCAGAGGAGCGAGGAGGGTGAGGACCAATAGGTTGGTGGGTCAGTGTGTTTCCCAGAGACCAGACGGAGACGGTGGAAGACACTGGGGAGCAGTGAGCCTCCGGGCTCTTCACAGGCAGGCTTTGATTTCTCAGTAAAAGAGAAGCTGAGGTTACCTGCTGAGAACAAATGAGGGTTGAGAAGACCCGAGGAGGTTTGAAAGAGCCCCTGTGGATGCTTCATAGGGAGCTGGTGAGGACAGAGAAGGCTCCTGGGACCACTACCAGCTGCGGAATAAAACAGACCTCGTACCTATTTGAGGAGATCCCCATTTCTTCGTCCTCCCCTGAGGAGCATTTCCATTTTAGCATCTGGCTGTTTCAGTCCTTGGTTAATATTGCTTTTAAAAGAATTTTAAAAAACTTCTTCTGTCAATAAATCACCCTTGTCATCCCTCTGAGATTGCCCAGACTCCCTCCACTGCTCTTCGCCTTCTTTTATATATATCTTAATCTCCTGCGCTATCTTCCCTTCACTCCCGGCCTCTCTTTTTGCTATTTTGTTTTTACAATACTCTCCATCATTTCATGGTTGCCTCTCTCCTTGCAAACCCCCACCCCGCCAGGCCCCCAGTTCCCTGACTGCTCCCTGTTCTTGCTGGAAGCCCAGGCTTTGGGAAGCTGCTCCTACACAGCACACTTAAATTTTGCTTCCACGCGTAGGTCATAAAAGCAGGACCAGCTATGTAATTTGCAGGGCCCAGTGCAAAATGAAACCTCGGGGCCCTCTTGTTAAAAAACAATCAAGAATTTGAAGATAGTGACTACAGAGAATTAGACCAAGTGCAGGGACCTTCTGAGCACTGGGTTGTGTGTGCCTGCATGAGGCGATGGTCCTTGAAGCTGGCTCTATTTGCAACCTTTGTGGCTTTGATTTATGGTTTAGGCACCATTCTCTGAACACTTCCGATTTTGCTTCTGTCATCTCTACATGCCACTTTAACTTGCTTGATTTTGTCTAATGTAGTTAACATGTTTATAGTAACAGAAGAAGACATGCTCTTTTAGCTATTGTTCCTTTTCACCGTCTTTTTTTGTTGTTGTTGATCTGGAAAAATGGCATGAGACTCCGTTCCAGGCCCCATAGGCTTGTAAGTTGATGCTTGGGTGCTTCTACTCTCAGAGCCCCAGAAAGCCGTGCCATGAGGTTAAAATGGCATGAGGAGGTGTCTCCCCTAGAGGAGACTTGAGGACAGTAGGTTAAGTTCCCCAGGCATGTATACCATCAAAATCAGCTGGGCAATACGCATGGCTTGGTGAGTGGCTCAGAATAAGCATTCAGTGAGGAATAGCCAGTATTCTCTCCTTGTTGGTCCAGGTAAATTTCCCTCTAGATTCAAGGGTTCTCCTTTCCTTCCCTTCAGACTTGCAGGCCACCTAGTTGCCACCTGGTTACCTGCTGACAGCCATCGTCCCACTGATATTCTGCCCACCCTGCACCCAAGGGTCTGGCCACCTACTTGTTGGTCTGCCTCTGGTGCTGGATGACCATGTTTTTCTCATGGATCGTCTCCAACAGGGCTGTTGCCAGAGATTTCAGATCAGAAATGGACTGTGGAGTAGCTGGGAGACTGCACCCGTGATCCTCAGATAACAGATCCTGAACTAGGACGGATATAAAATGTACAACTCAGTCTTAAATCCTTCTGGAATTATCAAATGCAAACCAATGTTACTTCTTCCTGGACAACGAAACTGGGATCAATTTCTGGCTTCTATATGCTACTGTGTTGTAACTGAAGAATCCACTTCAAGTGCCAAAAGTAAAATGAAATAAAATTCAGTGTGAGGGTTAAACAGAAAGGAGGCATCCTTGTGGACTTTTGCAACATTTTTTTTAAAGGTTAAAATCTTTTGCATTTGTCTAGTATTTTATACTCCAAAATGCTCATACTGACTAATTCATTTGAGCCTTCAAATTTAAAAAAGAACCTGGAAAATGTTATTTATTCCCATTTCACGGACAAAACAGCAAAGTGCTGATGGATTAAAACCATTAGCTGAAGGTTACCTTCTTTGAGGTCTATTCATTCAGCCACCCTCCTTCACTCTTTCTTGAGTATCTGCCTGTTATATGCCTAGCATTACGCTGAGAACTGGGCTGTGTGCATATGTGTGCTCAGCTGTGTTCAACTCTTTGTGGCCCCATGGACTATAGCCCACCAGGCTCCTCTGTCCATGGAATTCTCCAGGCAAGAATACTGGAGTGGGTTTTCATTTCCTTCTCCAAGGAATCGTCCCAACCCAAGGATTGAACCTGTGTCATTTGTGTCTCCTTCATTGGCAGGTGGGTTCTTTACCAGCTGAGCCACCAGGGAAACCCAGCTAAGAGCCACACAGCCATGCAAATGACAATAACTCTAGTCCTGAGCTCCTGGTTTATATTATAGCTTCTTATGGTTTACCCTTGGTGGGTGGTGTCCTCGGGGGTGATACCCTCAGTGGGTGGTGAGATACTGTAAGAGATTATTTAGAATACAAAATGTATTTTGTATTCCATGTCTTTCAAAAGTACGAGATAAACCCAAAAGACAACCACCACTTGTATTCCTACAAGACAGGGAGAAAAAAGGAATAATACAAATCTCTCATTATATATCTTTGAATACCATTTCCTATATGCCTATATGTAGACACACAAGTTCACACATTTCTCTTCAAAAATGGGAAAAAGCTCTGCTTTTCTTCACTTAACCTTATGTCTCATCATGAATATCTACTAAAATATAAAATGTGATGGCTTGGGACTTCCCAAAAAAATGTGATGGCTGCTTAGTAGCCCATGCATGTGAAAGTGAAAGTCACTCAGTCATGTCCGACTCTTTGTAACCCCGTGGACTATACAGTCCATGGAATTCTCCAGGCCAGAATACTGGAGTAGGTAGCCTTTCCCTTCTCCAGGGGATCCTCCCAACCCAGGGATCAAACCCAGGTCTCCCGGATTGCAGGCAGATTCTTTACCAGCTGAGCCACCAGGAAGCCCAAGAATACTGCAGTGGGTAGCCTATGCCTGCTCCAGAGGATCTTCCCTGGGGAATTGAACTGGGGTCTCCTGCATTGCAGGCAGATTCTTTACCAACTGAGCTATCAGGGATTGGTAATTTATTTAATTATGCTGGACATTTACATTGTTTCCAATGTTTTTTTCTTATAATTAATAAAGAAGAACTTTCTTGAAGCCAAGTGCTTGCATATGTCTGTAATCATTTCTTATTGGCTCAAAGGGGATTGGTTTAAGGCTTTTTGTAACAGATTGCCAAATGGTTCTCTAGAAAGGTTTGGCTGACTGACTGCTCTGCCAGGGTGCTTGAGCTTGGCTGGCATTCCCCACAACAGTGACAGGACTGGGTCTCAACATTCAGAGATGTTTGGCTATCAAGGGTATACACAGCTGTTCTTAGATGGGCTACTCCACATTTCTATCGAGTACTGTAGTACTGTAGTTTTCTTTTTAAAAATAATTCTAGGGTGTCCTTTTCTAGTTGAGGGGGGAAAAAGGGGGTTGCTTGGAAAAGTGCCTTGATTATTAGGCAGGCTGAATTCAGCACTTTTTTTTTTTTTAATTGACCATAGCTCTTATGAGGACTACCACATGATCCTTGCTGGTCTGCATTGCCAACAAGCCCAAAACAGGCCAGCCCAGCACGGTCCACTTGAGGCTCACGTTTAAAACTGAATCCCCAAATATTAAGTGTCAGAAGCAAGCGCTCTGCTATTTATTCCCCTGACTGTTCATGGAAGATCATTATTTTTCATCGGAATCGACAAGAAGGAGGAACAAGATTGCAATCAATAAAAACTTCTTTGAAAAAAGGCATGCGTGCCATGATAAAATGATTTCAGTAGCTAGGAGACTTTTCTAGTCTGATCACAGAGGCCAAGGAAAGGAGAAACTCAATGAGGATGGAATAGACACTCGGGGATGCTGACCTGGTGATTACAGAAGGGAAAACATTCCAGAAAGGAGAGTACAGTTAGATGAACAGATGCAGATGGGCTTCAGTTATTGGAGAAACCTCTAATGCAGCAGCTTTCCCAGCAGGGTACCCAAACCAGCATTGCATCAGCTGGCAACTTTTGAGAAATGCACACTTTCTGGGCTTACCCTAGGCCCACTCAATTGGAAACTCTCAGGTGGGGCCCTGTAACCTGTGTTTTAATAAGCCCTCCAGGCAATGCTGATGCAGGGGGAGGTTTGGGGGTGACCACTCTAAGGATTGGGCTTCCCAAGTGGTGCGCTTGATAAAGAATCCACCTGCCAATACAAGAGATGTAAGAGACACAGGTTTGAGCTCTGGGTTGGGGAGATCCCCTGAAGGAGGGCATGGCAACCCACTCCAGTATTCTTACCTGGAGAATCAACATGGACAGAGAAAGCCTGGCGGGCTATAGACCATGGGGCCGCACAGAGTTGGACATGACTGAAGTAACTTAGGATGCCGGCACGCACGCTCTAAGGATCACTTTGGTTCCTAATTCACAACGGAGAAGTGGACCCCCAGCACCAGCATTCTGTAATCACTCATGGTCCCTCCCAGAAAATGACCCCTACCTTGCTTTGCAGACAGGACCCCAGTCAGAGCACTGCTGCTGGATTTGCTCTGGCCTTTTGAGTTTTTCCGTCTCTCAAGAGCGTTCTAAAGCAGCATTGGGAGAAAACAAAAACCTCTGTCAGAAAAGCCAATAAAGGAAAAATACCTAATTCTGGTAGATGCATCCTCCCCTCCAGCACACAAGAACTCTTTGCAAACTCTAGATGCTGGCCTGACTTTCAAAATTCAGAGTTCCTGCCAAAGAGTTCTGATTTTTACGGACCTGGTAAAGAGTTGTGTTTTTCTTTTTTTTTTTTTCAGTTGGTGCCCAGCATAATTACAGCAATTACATCCTCCTATATATAGAAGATACTCACTGCATATGCGTTAAATTAAATCAAATCTGAAACAAGAACTCAGTCTAATGTGTGAAGTCACTAGTTATGGAAACCCCTTCCAAACAGACATGAGATAGAGGCTGGGTTTAACTTTCGTGGAAGAACTGAATAAATGTTGTTAACTGAATGCATACACACGTTTTTTAAATTATATATTAATTATAGAATGTTAAGAGCTATGTGTATATATAGACGGGTATAAACTCAAGCGTGGCCCCCACAGAATGGAAAAGGAAGGACAGCATAGAGACTTCCGAGAAAAAAGCAAACGTCAAAAGTAAGGAAAATGAGATGGCTCTCCCCAGCATCTAGACGGCTGTAAAACTTCACCCTCAGGAAGAGAAGTCAATCTATTTTCAAAGCAGAGAAACCCAGGAGATTTTGCTAATTATAACACAACTAACATCTGCAGAAATAGATATTATCGAACTAATGGCGCTGGAATTAGACTAAATAACAGTGGGGAGAATTTAAACATTCTATCCTTTCAGTATGACGTGAACATTATCATTTAGATAGTGATTTCCCAATCTTTGTTTCTTCATCACTCAGAAATCATTTTCTCATGGATGATTAGGAGACGAAGATCATCTGATAACAACAACAACGAAAAGCTTTCTGTACAGAAAAGCTGGAGCGGAAATCCAAGTTAGTGCAGACCGAGGCTGTGAAGTGGCTGCGTCCAGATTCTGGTGGTCTGTGTGCCCTATTCAGGTAACAGAAGGAGCTCTTGCAAAACCTGTTTTTGTTGTGTTTGCTGTTTGGGGGCTTAATTCTCACTGGTTCCCCAGTTTAAGCTCTTCTTGAACTATCTGGAGGGCAGGCAAGCACTAGAATATCTTTGGCACATAAAACAGAATTAAAATAGAATGACATTTAGATGTACAATAGTGAATCATCACCGTCACTGTCAAATTTTCTACCTTGTATTTGGCAATGTTAGATTTTAAGAGGTTGACCTCTTCATGAAGTTGCTTTAATCTCTCCTGAAGGTACCTGGAAAAGAACACATACAACTAGAAAGAGTTTGGGAGCAAAATAAAAATCATACACTCAAACATAAGGGGAAAAAAGGAAAACCAGACACCTGAAGAACCACCTTTTACATATAATGCCTTCCCACCACCAAAAAGAGGTAAAGTGCATCTTGGTGACCTCTTCTTAAATGGATACGGTGAAGGTCAAATATTCCCAGGTCACCTAAACCTCACTTCAGAACAGCCCTCCGCAGAGATCCCTGAAGGGCTATCAGCACAGTTTTCAAATAATTCTCATTAAGGTGATTCCACTGGGAAGCAAAGCAGGAAGAGGCAACACCAGACACGCTGTTAAGTTAGTCCCATACACACACAGAAATTTGCCTCCAGGAAAAGAAACAGCTAAGGGAATTCCTCAATTTATTTTCTTATTCTTTTCTGTCTTCTTGATAGCAATAACAAGCAGCTTTCACTGTTCCCTACCCTTCTCACCCAACCGGAGAAGGCAGGGAAAAACTGTAAGTACATAGCTTGTAAGCATTTGGTTGTTCTTTTCTTACTTTTACAACTAATGGGCGACATTAATATCATTGCTTTAGAGTTAGGACTTTCCTTTCATTGTAAGGCAATTTTGTCAAATGTAAATAGGGCTGCAAATAACTGCCAGCCTTCAGGCAAGTGGAGGCCCAGCACCCTATGATCACAGGCCAGGGCCTGGGCACTTGCCTGTTCTCCATACACAAGGCATCCACATCAATGATACGGTTCTCGTGGCCGCTAAGGATGTGGTTCAGCTCCTGGTTGAGCCTCTCGACCTTGTCCTGGTAGGAAGACCGCTCTTCTTTAACATCCTGAAGCTCATCCACAGAGGCCTGCAGGTCATGCTCCAGAGACTCAATCTGAAATCAAAGGAAGTGCCCTTACTTAAGGAGTTCTGCAGGCACTGGCTTTAGGGTTAGAGAGGGAATCTTCTATTTTGCTGACTGACTTTTAGAGAGCTTATTAATGCCAGCCACCTTCCATAAAACTATAAGTGCCACACACTGGACTATGATGAAAGCTAAAAACAAGGAGATGACTTCTAGCCAGTCACTTACTGTATCCAAGATGAGACAGACATGGCAGCTTGGAACCACAGACCTTCTGGCTTACCAGCTGCAGCCTGCCCTAAAGCCAGAGGCTCAGAGAGGGCAAATCCAGACACTGGTAATAACAGCCAGTGTCTTACAACGACATACTTTTTCAAACCACTCTAGACCCAGAAATCTTGTTCTGTTCTTCAAAATCACTTGGTAAGAGAAGAAAAACAAAGTCGAGGCTCTCTAAGCTGCTCCCTAACGAGAGCTTGGTACATGATGAGATTTAGACTAAAAAGCATCGCTCAGTATTTCAGCTGAAACTTGCAAATTAAGGCCAGTTTGTCACGTTTGTTCGCTCCCTGTCTATCCTGGGTACGGGGGATGTTTCTTGCTATGTTCAGAACAATGACACTCAAAGTAAGACGGCAGATCTGCTAGAAGCCAAAAACAGAAGAGCTTGCTTGAGAACTCAGCAGAGAGCGGAGTGAGTAAATGCATTCAAACTGCATCCTTCTCCCTCCTCTGACCACATCCCAGGCACCCCACACTCTTGGAGAAACGGGGCACAGTCTACTCTTCCTTGTGTTGTGCCCAGCTGTGCAAACACCACCCCCCCCACCCTGAACAGATGCTGACGACAACCTGTTCCTTTGCTCTCTCCAGCTGCAGAACCAAATCCTCACGCTCATGGGCCGCAAAGTGCCGCACGCCGATTTCTTCGTCTCCCAGCCTCTGTTTGGCAATTGTCATCCTCAACAGCTGCGTTTTCCATTGGTAGAAAAAGAAGAGGAAGAGGGAAAGAGAGTTAAAATGAATAGATCTCAACAAAACCCCAAGCCTACTTAGGCAGAAAGTGTTGGAAAAAAAGATATTTCAAGAAATACTGGGGAAGGACACAAGACAAAGAAATTTCTTACCAATATCATTAATTCAATTTAAAAAAATTCATATTGTATTCTGTACAGGCATGCCTAAACACACATGTCCACACATTCACCTATAAGCCTAATGGGAACACAGGGCTGGGCATCTGAAGATGGATATCCTGTGTAGCCCTACTGTAGTGAGGAAAAAAACTCTGGGTCTCTTTTAAACTTAGCAAAGATTAAAAAAATGATAACACAATGTTGCAAAGAATCTGCTAAGATGGGCAATCTCCCACATTCTTGACATTTAGGCTATGACGTATTTGGGGTCCTTATTTGAAAACTAGTCAGCTGAACTGCACAAATATTTATTGTGCAACTACTGTGAGCAAAAGCATCGTGAGGATCGGCAGACAATGTTACAGGCAGGTGGAGCAGCCTGTACAAAGGGCTAGCAGAGGATACATAGCACTTAGTATACAGATGGCCATGTTTGATGGAATTCTCATTTCAAAACTCAAGCATTTTGTCTTTGTGTACCTGCATAAAGCAAATTTACTTGTAGCCTTGGACTCAGCATTCATGGTGCCTTTGCATGGGTGGATGCTCGCATGCTCAGTCATTAAGTCCTGTCTGACTCTTTGTGACCCCATGGACTGTAGCCCACTAGACTCCTCTGTCCATGGGATTTCCCGGGCAAGAATATTGGAGTGGGTTGCCATTTTCTCCTCCAGGGGATCTTCCCAACCCAGGAATCAAACCTGTTATCTCTTGCGTTGGCAGGCAGATTCTTTACCTCTGAGCCACCTGGGAAGCCCTGGTAGGTGGATATGGGCAGACAAATGCAGAGTTGCAAACAATGGAAGTGTCCCACAGGAAAGTTCCCAGCTAAGATCATTATGCTTTCTTGTTTCAGCTCATATTATAAACAAGTGTCTTTTCATGGTCTCATTTGTGCCCCTTTTCTTCCCTCACATTTTTGTACTTTCTCTCGCTGTTTTGCTGTTTAAGAAGGCCCTGCTGAGCTGTGCTGGAGTGTTGTTTGGTGTTTCTGAGCACAAGAGGCCATGATGTGCCTTGCAGAGAATATCTGTGTGTTAGATAAGTTTCATCCAGGCATGAGTTACAGTGCTATTGGCTGTGAGTTCAATGAAAAAGAATGAACAATGTAAGTTAAATAAAGTTATTTTAAACAGAAACATGTAAAACATATATTGATCAGGTGACAAAAGTGTTGTGATGAGAGGCTCAGAGGAACCTAATCTCCTATTTCCCCTAGGAACAATGGTTCTCTATTCCCTAAATCAGTGTTTGCAGTGATTTTAGAGAATGTAACTGCAGCAAGTGTCAAGCATTGGCTACTTGCTATTATACTGGGGGGAGAATGGAGTTTATGTCAGAACTGGTTAATTTACCTGAAAGCTGATAACATGAAAACACAAATTCTTGACTCAGGACATTCAGAACCCCAAGTGAATGAAAGACAAACAGCTAACCAAGTAAGAAACACTTTCAGATCAAAGAGTCTAGGAAGAGGAAGGCCTGTGCTTTTTTTTTTTTTTTTTCTGCATGAGGCAACCGGCATGCCACATGGCTTTGAAAGCAGGATGCTTTTCCTTGTATGTGAAAAGCCAGATTGACAGCCTAAACTTTAAGTAATAAAACACCACTGTGGTTTCCCATTCACAGTACGCTTCGCCGAACACTTAATTTAGAATCACACAATTATGTTTGCTTAATGCCAATTAATTATTAAACATGTTTATTGAGGTCTGACAGCCATAGAAGAGAGTCAGCTTTTATATATTGGATGCCTGTTAAGCTTCAATAAACATGTTAACAATCATTTGGTGTTTAATGTGCATACAACATTGGCTATTAAATCTCAGGGCTGGGCTGGATGAAACACTTATTTTTAAGAAGTGAGGCCCAAGTTGGCGATAGCTGGATCACTAGTTGGGTCTGACACTCAATATTCAATTGGCTGACAAGGCCCGAAGGGGCCGCGAGAGCAGGGACAGAAGCCCGAGGGAGACTGCTCTTGTCTTCCCGGCGAACACTCACAGGTTCTGGAGTCTGCCTGCCTGGGGGCTGGTGTCCTGGGGCCAAGTTTGGGAGCTGCGCAACCTCAGGCTTGTGCCTAAACTTCTCTTAGTATCTTTAACTGTAAGAGTACGACAGTGACAGTACAGCTTTTTACTCCCCAGGGTGCCTGTAACGGTCGGGCCCAGAGTAGGCTGCACCCAAATGTGCCTCAGTGGCATACTGATTATTTTGAATTAAAGTTTTTTAAGAAATGGCCAAGAGGGACACTTGGCCCTTAACAAGAGGGACTCTGACCCTCCCTTCTGTCACCCTGAGAGCAGGAAAAGATCTCTCGCATGTGTACGGACTTGTAGACACAGAGGGGGTAGGGAGAAGATGGGATGAACTGAGAGGGTAGCATTGACATTTGTACCACCACGTGTAAAACAGAGAGTGGGAAGTGGCTGCATAGCCCAGGGAATGCAGCCTGGTGCTTTGTGATGACCTAGAGCAGTACAATGGGGATGGGGTAGGAGTGAAGCTCAAAAGGGAGGGGACGTACATACACATAGAGCTGATTCACATCGCTGAAGAGCAGAAATGAATACAACATCGGAAAGCAATGATGTTGCTGCTGTTGTGTTGTATTGTTGTTGTTTAGTTGCTCAGTTGTGTCTGACTCTTTTGCAACCCCATGGACTGTAGCATGCCAGGTTCCTCTGCCCATGGAATTCTCCAGGCAAGAATACTGGAGTGGGTTTGCCAGGCACCCCTCTAGGGAAATCGTCCCAACCCAGGGATGGAACCCATATCTCCTGCTTGGCAGGTGGAGTCTTTAGCACTGAGCCTCCTGGGGAGCCCAAAGCAATTATATTCCGATTAAAAAATAAATTTAAAAAATCTCTCATGTGAAAGGTGTATCCCCTGCATCTGGAGGTAGAAGGACACCCTTACTGTCAGAGACAGGGAATTCAGGCAAGAAACCAAAATCTAAACCAACTCTGTCACTGCTTTTATTTACTACCCCAAGTCAAAACTCAGTTTAGATTTTTCACTAGTTGGGCACCCAAAACCTAAGGTTCTCTCTCCTGTCAGTTCCTCCCAAATATATTATCTCTTTGAAAGTATAAAAGTTATCTGCTTTGGTCACTTCTTAGATCCCACGCCTAAGAGACCAGCAAGAATTTCAAATATGTCTCTTTTTCTCCTGCTAATCTGTCTTGTGTCCAACCACAAGACATCAAGAGGGATGGAGGGGGCAATTTCCCCTCCCCAGCACTGAGCATGAAGTCAAAGAGTGAAGTTGTATTAAACAAGAATTTAACTTAGGGCAATTCAAATTGATGTGTTCAGTTTCTGAAAAGATGAGGGGGGAAAACCAAGGGGAAGAAGAGCAGGATGAAGAAAAGGGGATGGGAGAGAAATAATAATTTAAAAAATTGGCGACTCCCCCCATCCCTACTTTCAATGTCCCAGACTGAGGACGAGGCGAGAGAGAGACTGATGATGCATTTAGGCAAAATCATACTGTCCATGTTTATAAGACTGCTGCTCAGGAGCACGCATGGCCATGTGCCTGAACGTTACGGACAACTTAAGGGACCTTTCAGGCGAATTTCAGCCAGACACAAGTTTTTGCCTCTTCCACGCTGACTTTAGAACCTAGTCCCACGTAAGAGAAGATGTTTCTCTACCATACTTAGCACAGCCCCAGAACATAAAGAGTGCTCGATCAGTGTTAGCTGCTGTTACAATCACGGGGGTGGCCACTGCTGTCCTCCCCCACGTGAGGTTCCCCACACACACACCCACTGGGGAAGTCCCAATTTTCTTACAAGCTGGAGGGAAGCAAGCTGCTGAGGCAATGTTATCTGTAGACCGCAGGCAAAGGGGTTGATTTCCCACCTTGGAAGCCGTTAGGAAGCAACTGCTCGGAGCACTTAATTTCCCCCAATGGGACTATCAAAACTGCACAGCCAGCCCCCCTGTGCCAAGCCTCGGAGTGGACCAGTGCCCTGAGAGGCGCGTGCATGGCCATCAGGAGACATGTCCGTTTGCTGATTTAGATGGAAATAAACGCTTATGAATGAATTACGGGTGTGAGTCGTCCGCTTATGGATGAGATGCAGCTGCAGCTGGGATGTGGCTGAGGGGCAAGACCGCAAAACGATGTGGCAAACGGCTCTTGGGCGCCCTTCCCCCATCCTGACTCCTCTGCCAAAGCCCTGCTCAAACTCTGGTGCCGTCAAGGCCCCCCAGTCAGAATGACTCACTTCCTCCTTGATCTCTTCTCTGGCTTCATCCCTCAGAGTCCTCAGCAGCCTCTCTCTCATCTTGTTTTCATCTGCCTGAATCCATTTTCCCCAGCTTACCAATGAGTCATCACTGACTCAATGGACATGAGTTTGAGCAAACTCTAGGAGATAGTGAAGGACAGAAGCCTGGTGGGCTGCAGTTCATGGGGTCGCAAAGAGTCAGACACAACTCCGCAACTGAACAACAATTTTCCCCAGTAGACAGTGGGAGGGAGGTAGCCAGAGGCAGGAGCAGCTATTATTCTCCTGGTGTTACCTGTGTTAGCTCCTACATCTGCTCATTCTAGTCACGTGTCCTCAGCTGTCATCTAACCTTCACTGAGCCCTGGGTGACATCAGTTTTTTTGAAAGTGGGGACTGTTTTAGTTCATTCAAACTTCTATAACAGACTGCCATACACTGTGTGGCTTACAGAAATAAACATATCTCATAATTCTAAAGGCTGGGAAGTACAAGATGAAAATACTAGTGGATCGGGTGTTTCCTGGTTCACAGAGGGCTAGCCTTTTGTTGTGTCCTCACATGGTGGAAGGGCTGAGAGAGCTCTCTAGGG